TCGGTTCTGATTGAGGTCTGGGTTCTGGTCCGGTTTGGATGAAGGTCTGGGTTCTGGTTCGGTTCGGTTCTGATGAAGGTCTGGGTTCTGGTTCGGTTCAGTTCTGATTGAGGTCTGGGTTCTGGTCCGGTTCGGATGAAGGTCTGGGTTCTGGTTCGGTTCAGTTCTGATTGAGGTCTGGGTTCTGGTCCGGTTCGGATGAAGGTCTGGGTTCTGGTTCGGTTCGGTTCTGATGAAGGTCTGGGTTCTGGTTCAGTTCTGATAAAGTTCTGGGTTCTGGTTCGGTTCTGACGAAGGTCTGGGTTCTGGTCCGGTTGTGATGAAGGACTGGGTTCTGGTCCGGTCCGGTTGTGATGAAGGACTGGGTTCTGGTCCGGTTCGGTTCTGATGAAGGTCTGGATTCTGGTCCGGTTCGGTTCTGATGAAGGTCTGGGTTCTGGTTCGGTTCTGATTGAGGTCTGGGTTCTGGTTCGGTTCGGTTCTGATTGAGGTCTGGGTTCTGTTCCGGTTCGGATGAAGGTCTGGGTTCTGGTTCGGTTCGGTTCTGATGAAGGTCTGGGTTCTGGTTCGGTTCTGATAAAGTTCTGGGTTCTGGTTCGGTTCTGACGAAGGTCTGGGTTCTGGTCCGGTTGTGATGAAGGACTGGGTTCTGGTCCGGTCCGGTTCTGATGAAGGTCTGGGTTCTGGTCCGGTTCTGATTGAGCACTGGGTTCTGGTTTGGTTCGGATGAAGGTCTGGGTTCCCGTCCGGTTCTGATGAAGGTCTGGGTTCTGATGAAGGTCTGGGCTCTGATCCGGTCCGGTTCTGATGAAGGTCTGGGTTCTGATGAAGGTCTGGGTTCTGGTCCGGTTCTGATTGAGCACTGGGTTCTGGTTCGGTTCTGATTGAGGTCTGGGTTCTGGTCCGGTTCGGATGAAGGTCTGGGTTCTGGTTCGGTTCTGATGAAGGTCTGGGTTCTGGTTCGGTTCTGATTGAGGTCTGGGTTCTGGTCCGGTTCAGTTCTGATGAAGGTCTGGGTTCTGGTTCGGTTCGGTTCTGATGAAGGTCTGGGTTCTGGTTCAGTTCTGATAAAGTTCTGGGTTCTGGTTCGGTTCTGATGAAGGTCTGGGTTCTGGTCCGGTTGTGATGAAGGACTGGGTTCTGGTCCGGTCCGGTTCTGATGAAGGTCTGGGTTCTGGTCCGGTTCGGTTCTGATGAAGGTCTGGGTTCTGGTCCGGTTGTGATGAAGGACTGGGTTCTGGTCCGGTCCGGTTCTGATGAAGGTCTGGGTTCTGGTCCGGTTCGGTTCTGATTGAGGTCTGGGTTCTGGTCCGGTTCGGATGAAGGTCTGGGTTCTGGTTCGGTTCGGTTCTGATGAAGGTCTGGGTTCTGGTTCGGTTCTGATTGAGGTCTGGGTTCTGGTCCGGTTCGGATGAAGGTCTGGGTTCTGGTTCGGTTCGGTTCTGATGAAGGTCTGGGTTCTGGTTCGGTTCAGTTCTGATTGAGGTCTGGGTTCTGGTCCGGTTCGGATGAAGGTCTGGGTTCTGGTTCGGTTCAGTTCTGATTGAGGTCTGGGTTCTGGTCCGGTTCGGATGAAGGTCTGGGTTCTGGTTCGGTTCGGTTCTGATGAAGGTCTGGGTTCTGGTTCAGTTCTGATAAAGTTCTGGGTTCTGGTTCGGTTCTGACGAAGGTCTGGGTTCTGGTCCGGTTGTGATGAAGGACTGGGTTCTGGTCCGGTCCGGTTGTGATGAAGGACTGGGTTCTGGTCCGGTTCGGTTCTGATGAAGGTCTGGATTCTGGTCCGGTTCGGTTCTGATGAAGGTCTGGGTTCTGGTTCGGTTCTGATTGAGGTCTGGGTTCTGGTTCGGTTCGGTTCTGATTGAGGTCTGGGTTCTGTTCCGGTTCGGATGAAGGTCTGGGTTCTGGTTCGGTTCGGTTCTGATGAAGGTCTGGGTTCTGGTTCGGTTCTGATAAAGTTCTGGGTTCTGGTTCGGTTCTGACGAAGGTCTGGGTTCTGGTCCGGTTGTGATGAAGGACTGGGTTCTGGTCCGGTCCGGTTCTGATGAAGGTCTGGGTTCTGGTCCGGTTCTGATTGAGCACTGGGTTCTGGTTTGGTTCGGATGAAGGTCTGGGTTCTGATGAAGGTCTGGGCTCTGATCCGGTCCGGTTCTGATGAAGGTCTGGGTTCTGATGAAGGTTTGGGTTCTGGTCCGGTTCTGATTGAGCACTGGGTTCTGGTTCGGTTCTGATTGAGGTCTGGGTTCTGGTCCGGTTCGGATGAAGGTCTGGGTTCTGGTTCGGTTCTGATGAAGGTCTGGGTTCTGGTTCGGTTCTGATTGAGGTCTGGGTTCTGGTCCGGTTCGGATGAAGGTCTGGGTTCTGGTTCGGTTCAGTTCTGATGAAGGTCTGGGTTCTGGTTCAGTTCTGATAAAGTTCTGGGTTCTGGTTCGGTTCTGATGAAGGTCTGGGTTCTGGTCCGGTTGTGATGAAGGACTGGGTTCTGGTCCGGTCCGGTTCTGATGAAGGTCTGGGTTCTGGTCCGGTTCGGTTCTGATGAAGGTCTGGGTTCTGGTCCGGTTGTGATGAAGGACTGGGTTCTGGTCCGGTCCGGTTCTGATGAAGGTCTGGGTTCTGGTCCGGTTCGGTTCTGATTGAGGTCTGGGTTCTGGTCCGGTTCGGATGAAGGTCTGGGTTCTGGTTCGGTTCGGTTCTGATGAAGGTCTAGGTTCTGGTTCGGTTCTGATTGAGGTCTGGGTTCTGGTCCGGTTCGGATGAAGGTCTGGGTTCTGGTTCGGTTCGGTTCTGATGAAGGTCTGGGTTCTGGTTCGGTTCAGTTCTGATTGAGGTCTGGGTTCTGGTCCGGTTCGGATGAAGGTCTGGGTTCTGGTTCGGTTCAGTTCTGATTGAGGTCTGGGTTCTGGTCCGGTTCGGATGAAGGTCTGGGTTCTGGTTCGGTTCGGTTCTGATGAAGGTCTGGGTTCTGGTTAAGTTCTGATAAAGTTCTGGGTTCTGGTTCGGTTCTGACGAAGGTCTGGGTTCTGGTCCGGTTGTGATGAAGGACTGGGTTCTGGTCCGGTCCGGTTGTGATGAAGGACTGGGTTCTGGTCCGGTTCGGTTCTGATGAAGGTCTGGATTCTGGTCCGGTTCGGTTCTGATGAAGGTCTGGGTTCTGGTTCGGTTCTGATTGAGGTCTGGGTTCTGGTTCGGTTCGGTTCTGATTGAGGTCTGGGTTCTGTTCCGGTTCGGATGAAGGTCTGGGTTCTGGTTCGGTTCGGTTCTGATGAAGGTCTGGGTTCTGGTTCGGTTCTGATAAAGTTCTGGGTTCTGGTTCGGTTCTGACGAAGGTCTGGGTTCTGGTCCGGTTGTGATGAAGGACTGGGTTCTGGTCCGGTCCGGTTCTGATGAAGGTCTGGGTTCTGGTCCGGTTCTGATTGAGGTCTGGGTTCTGGTCCGGTTCGGATGAAGGTCTGGGTTCTGGTTCGGTTCAGTTCTGATTGAGGTCTGGGTTCTGGTCCGGTTCGGATGAAGGTCTGGGTTCTGGTTCGGTTCGGTTCTGATGAAGGTCTGGGTTCTGGTTCAGTTCTGATAAAGTTCTGGGTTCTGGTTCGGTTCTGACGAAGGTCTGGGTTCTGGTCCGGTTGTGATGAAGGACTGGGTTCTGGTCCGGTCCGGTTGTGATGAAGGACTGGGTTCTGGTCCGGTTCGGTTCTGATGAAGGTCTGGATTCTGGTCCGGTTCGGTTCTGATGAAGGTCTGGGTTCTGGTTCGGTTCTGATTGAGGTCTGGGTTCTGGTTCGGTTCGGTTCTGATTGAGGTCTGGGTTCTGTTCCGGTTCGGATGAAGGTCTGGGTTCTGGTTCGGTTCGGTTCTGATGAAGGTCTGGGTTCTGGTTCGGTTCTGATAAAGTTCTGGGTTCTGGTTCGGTTCTGACGAAGGTCTGGGTTCTGGTCCGGTTGTGATGAAGGACTGGGTTCTGGTCCGGTCCGGTTCTGATGAAGGTCTGGGTTCTGGTCCGGTTCTGATTGAGCACTGGGTTCTGGTTTGGTTCGGATGAAGGTCTGGGTTCCCGTCCGGTTCTGATGAAGGTCTGGGTTCTGATGAAGGTCTGGGCTCTGATCCGGTCCGGTTCTGATGAAGGTCTGGGTTCTGATGAAGGTCTGGGTTCTGGTCCGGTTCTGATTGAGCACTGGGTTCTGGTTTGGTTCGGATGAAGGTCTGGGTTCCCGTCCGGTTCTGATGAAGGTCTGGGTTCTGATGAAGGTCTGGGCTCTGATCCGGTCCGGTTCTGATGAAGGTCTGGGCTCTGATCCGGTCCGGTTCTGATGAAGGTCTGGGTTCTGATCCGGTTCGGTTCTGATAAAGGTCTGAGTTCCGGTCCAGTTCTGATGAAGGTCTGGATTCTGGTCCGGTTCGGTTCTGATGAAGGTCTGGGTTCTGGTTCGGTTCTGATGAAGGTCTGGGTTCTGGTCCGGTTCTGATTGAGGTCTGGGTTCTGGTCCGGTTCGGTTGAAGGTCTGGGTTCTGGTTCGGTTCGGTTCTGATTGAGGTCTGGGTTCTGGTCCGGTTCGGATGAAGGTCTGGGTTCTGGTTCGTTTCGGTTCTGATGAAGGTCTGGGTTCTGGTTCGGTTCTGATGAAGGTCTGGGTTCTGGTCCGGTTCTGATGAAGGTCTGGGTTCTGGTCCGGTTCTGATTGAGGTCTGGGTTCTGGTCCGGTTCGGTTGAAGGTCTGGGTTCTGGTTCGGTTCGGTTCTGATTGAGGTCTGGGTTCTGGTCCGGTTCGGATGAAGGTCTGGGTTCTGGTTCGTTTCGGTTCTGATGAAGGTCTGGGTTCTGGTTCGGTTCTGATGAAGGTCTGGGTTCTGGTCCGGTTCTGATGAAGGTCTGGGTTCTGGTCCGGTTCTGATGAAGGTCTGGGTTCCCAGGTGTGTAATCTTCTGGCTGTCCTCCATGTTCCTCCTCCTCCTCCTCCTCCTCCTCATCCTCCTCCTCCTCCTCCTCATCCTCATAGACAGCAGCTGTGGAAACGGAGGCGCGCCGCCGCCTCCTGCAGGCTATATAAGGCAGTGCGCGTGCGCGGCCTGGCCCCCGCGTGGCCAAGCATCAGGTGTGAATTCGACGTCTCTGAGGAAAACGGCGCGAGGTGCGGCTCTTTGATCGCTTTGAAGCGTTGGTCTCGCGCCGTCTTTGGGTTTAAATGTCTCCTGGTTTCTGATCTGAAGTTGGAGTCTTTGTTCTGCTCCTGGTTGGGTTCTCCTCTCACCTGTCCCTCCTGCAGCAGGTCTCCTCATCATGGTGCAGCTATCTCCACCCCGGTCCCTGGATGTGACAGAGGAACCTGAAGGTCAGCAGGAGCAGAGGGTGGAGAACCTGGAGGTGTCCACCACCTACCAAGGCTATGAGACCTACATAGAAGATGGCCTCATCTGCCTGAAGCACAAAGTCCGCAACTTGGAGAAGAAGAAGGTAAGGGTTCCTGCTGGGAGCTGCTGACCAGCGCCTCCCCCACTTCATCCTCCAACCTTCTCACCCACAGCTGAAGCTGAAGGAGTACCAGAAGAGGCTGGTCCAGGGGGAGGTCCTCAACAAAGATCAGATGGTGAGTGAGGCCAGGCTGCTCCTCAGATCTCCTCCAGGTTCTCCTTCCCCTGCCCTCAGCTGCTGTGTTCTCTTCCAGGCTGCTGTAGAGAAGTTTGACCAGGTGCTCCATCACCTGGAGTTCGCCCGGGAGATGCACAGAACCCTGGACGGCCTGACCCAGAGCGTAGGTGTCTCCTTCATGTTCCTCAGTGCTGACATGTTTCCACAAACATCTTCAGGAAGTGCTTAGTGCGAGGGTTTTAGTCGGAACAAGGAGAAGTTTCCAGATCTGGATATAGACCACTTCCTGCCTGGATGCTGAGGCCTCCAAGGGAAATCAGCAGGAGGTGCGGGGAGGAACCAGGCAGAGCAGGAGGTGCGGGGAGGAACCAGGCAGAGCAGGAGGTGCGAGGAGGAAGCAGGCAGAGCAGGAGGTGCGGGGAGCAAACAGGCAGAGCAGGAGGTGCGGGGAGGAACCCGGCAGATGACCCGTCACCACTGCTGAACTTTCACACTTCACCTTCTGGATTACTCCTCTGAGGACTGTGGCTGAGGACTATGAAGCAGCTGGATCTGGTTCCTGGTTCGTGGTTCTGGAACTTCTCAGGACCATCCAGGCTGCAGTAATGGACGCTTTGAACAGGCAGTTTCTTTAGTCACTAACTGCAGTGGATCAGGCCAACCTCTAGGGGTCACTGTAGCATCCTGTGGTTCTAGTAGAATCTGGCTGGTGGTGCTGATGATGATGATGATGATGATGGTGATTATGATGATGATGATGATGATGATGGTGATTATGTACTCTGTTCCTGCAGCTGTTGAAGGCTCAGAAAAAGGCGGTTAAGCAGGAGCAGGCTGAGAAGCTGGAGGCTGAGAGGAGGCGTCTGACCCTGATGCTCCAGTTCCAGAACCTTCTGGTTGTTCTCCAGCAGGAACATGTGAGGAAGGAGCTGATGGCAGGAAGCAGTGACGCTCCCTACATCCCAGCTCCGCTGCTGCACAGCCTGAACCAGCTGGCTGCCTTGTTGGGGGTCACCAGGGACGGTCAGCTGAGGTGAGACGCTCCTTATGGAGGGTGGGAGGGGCTTAGCCTGTGACGTCCCGTCCTTTGATGGAGCTTCAGCTTCCAGGGTGGACGTGTTGCTCTGAGCTCTGCTTTCTTATGGAACATCAAGTTTTAGCAGTTTGTGGTTGTAAAGCACCTTCAGCATTTAGTAGCATCTCCTCATGGTTCCCCTGCAGCCTGGAGGAGCAGATGGAGCAGGCGGCCTCGGCCTACATGGACCTCCTGGATGGGAAGGAGAAACCTGTGGTTGGTTCGACATGTGAGTAAATGTCTGAGAAATAATCACAGAAAAGCAACTCGGGTCCTGACCTTTGCTTCAAAGCAAAAATTTGGTCAGAGTCCGGATCCAAGGTGGTGGGGCGGTCTGAAGGTGGTGGGGCGGTCTGAAGGTGGTGGGGCGGTCTGAAGGTGGTGGGGCGGTCTGAGTTCTTGGCTGCAGTCATTTTTCTGTCTGGCAGGAAGTCTTGATCCGTTTCCACAGGTAGAAGTTGATTTCCTTTAAATCAACCTTTGGTGTTCCCTCTGTGTTCCTGAACATTCAGGCTCTGTCCAAACGTTCAAACCATCTCCTCTATAGTGGTTACGCCATTTTATACGAGCGTCTGAATGTCTAGTGGAGGAAAAAGTATTGGAGTCTAAATTTTCCACAATGCGTTTTTAAAAGTAGAGATCATGGTCACTAGACCAGCAGATATATCCCAGAATGCTTTGCAAGAGCTCTCCCACAAAGCAGTGTGGGGTTTGTTATGGCAACGAGGATGAACAAGGGTGATGCAGACACCCTGTGGGGAGGCGGAGCCACTTGACCCGACGGGGAGGGAAAGTTAATTGACCGTCCAAACGGTCAGGTGGCCTTTGGCCTTTGGCGTTCCCTCACTTTCCCGGAATCTTTGGGTTTCCCTCAGTTTCCTGGAACCAGTTCCCCGGGACCTATGGCGCCCCCTCCCTCTGTTTCCCCGGGACCTATGGCGCTCCCTCCCTCTGTTTCCCCGGGACCTATGGCGCCCCCTCCCTCGGTTTCCCCGGGACCTATGGCGCCCCCTCCCTCGGTTTCCCCGGGACCTATGGCGCCCCCTCCCTCTGTTTCCCCGGGACCTATGGCGCCCCCTCCCTCGGTTTCCCCGGGACCTATGGCGCCCCCTCCCTCTGTTTCCCCGGGACCTATGGCGCCCCCTCCCTCTGTTTCCCCGGGACCTATGGCGCCCCCTCCCTCGGTTTCCCCGGGACCTATGGCGCCCCCTCCCTCTGTTTCCCCGGGACCTATGGCGCCCCCTCCCTCTGTTTCCCCGGGACCTATGGCGCCCCCTCCCTCTGTTTCCCCGGGACCTATGGCGCCCCCTCCCTCGGTTTCCCCGGGACCTATGGCGCTCCCTCCCTCGGTTTCCCCGGGACCTATGGCGCCCCCTCCCTCTGTTTCCCCGGGACCTATGGCGCCCCCTCCCTCTGTTTCCCCGGGACCTATGGCGCCCCCTCCCTCTGTTTCCCCGGGACCTATGGCGCCCCCTCCCTCGGTTTCCCCGGGACCTATGGCGCTCCCTCCCTCGGTTTCCCCGGGACCTATGGCGCCCCCTCCCTCTGTTTCCCCGGGACCTATGGCGCCCCCTCCCTCGGTTTCCCCGGGACCTATGGCGCCCCCTCCCTCGGTTTCCCCGGGACCTATGGCGCCCCCTCCCTCGGTTTCCCCGGGACCTATGGCGCCCCCTCCCTCGGTTTCCCCGGGACCTATGGCGCCCCCTCCCTCGGTTTCCCCGGGACCTATGGCGCCCCCTCCCTCTGTTTCCCCGGGACCTATGGCGCCCCCTCCCTCGGTTTCCCCGGGACCTATGGCGCCCCCTCCCTCTGTTTCCCCGGGACCTATGGCGCCCCCTCCCTCTGTTTCCCCGGGACCTATGGCGCTCCCTCCCTCGGTTTCCCCGGGACCTATGGCGCCCCCTCCCTCTGTTTCCCCGGGACCTATGGCGCCCCCTCCCTCGGTTTCCCCGGGACCTATGGCGCCCCCTCCCTCTGTTTCCCCGGGACCTATGGCGCCCCCTCCCTCGGTTTCCCCGGGACCTATGGCGCCCCCTCCCTCGGTTTCCCCGGGACCTATGGCGCCCCCTCCCTCTGTTTCCCCGGGACCTATGGCGCTCCCTCCCTCGGTTTCCCCGGGACCTATGGCGCCCCCTCCCTCTGTTTCCCCGGGACCTATGGCGCCCCCTCCCTCGGTTTCCCCGGGACCTATGGCGCCCCCTCCCTCGGTTTCCCCGGGACCTATGGCGCCCCCTCCCTCGGTTTCCCCGGGACCTATGGCGCTCCCTCTGTGTTGTGCCCCCTCATGGACTGATGTCTTACCTAGCATCCCATCTAAGCAGACAGAAACCAGAGGAAGAGGATGATGGAAAGGTGTGTGGGGTTAGTCCTGGTAACCATGGTAACCACTCTGTTGTTGCAGATAAGCGGCTGAAGGAGGAGCTCCTCAGACTGTTGAACTACAAGTTCTTCAGCCGTCCACCGCCCCCCCCCAGCAGGACTCCAGTGCGTTCAGTGAGCTCGGCTGGTCAGAGCGGTAAGGACTTGGTCACATGATCAACAGCAGGAAGTGGACGGCAGAACTTCCTGCCATTCTATGAACTTTATTGGTTAGGCTGCAAAACTCATTAATCTAACGACAGTTTTTATGATCAGTGAATCTAGTTTATCCATTAAACTGTGAAGAATATACAGTAAAGGGCAATATTTATTCATTTATCTATAGTAAGGAACCAAAAAGGAAATTGGATTAAATCACAACATGAACTTTACTGACAGGAAGATAAAGTTTACAGGAAAAAAAATGCAATTTGAGATGAAAGTCATTGTTTTTATTAATAAGGATTGAGGTGTAGAATTAAACATTTTAGAAAAAACTCAATTGGAGATGCAGACGAGAAGCTGCAGAGATGGAGGACATGCAGAAGGAGCTCTCCTGCTTCCTCTGCTCCAGAATAGATTAGAATAGAAAATACCTTTATTGTCCCACAATGGGGAAATTCTGGTGTTACAGCAGCAAAAAGATTATAGAAAAAACAGTCACACAAATGTGGACCTTAGAGAAATATATCAGAATAACATAATAGTGAGATGCAATATAAGCAATAAAATCCTGTAAAGTGTTTTAATAATATCAAACTGGAGAATAAATAACCAATATGCAGCTATGGACGTTTTTCCAGTAATGGATTTTTGAAAGTAGCAGCAGCATCAGAGATGTTCAAAATGACAGCAGCAGGTTATTTAACTGACTAAGGTAGAAACTGTGCAAAGTCAGCATGAATGGAACAACTGATGGAGGTTGTTGGGAACAGTGGTGGTTCTAGAGTCTTCCAGCCGCTGGGAGGAAGGATCTGTGATAACGCTCCCTGGTGAGATGAGATTTAATGTCTGGGGCGATACCTTTGGTGTGTTGTCCCACTTCACCAGAAGATTATGATATTTATGATATATATATGATACATTTCATTTCATTTATTGTTTATTTGAAAGGGGACAGTGTACATTAATAAACATTAAAACAATGTAAATATACCCGAGTTAGCTAAGGAGTGCTAATTTTCATCGGTAGTCCCCCAGCCAGATATTAAAAAGGCAACCTTAAAAATAAACACAAGTATAAAATCACAAGATTAAATTACAATACCAATTACATAAAAACATTATGGTTAAGAAGTAAAATGTATGTAAAATTATTAAAAATATATTGTAAAATTATTTAAATACACACTAAAAACCTTAGTGTCCACAAATTTGGCTCTCTACAAGCCATTTTTTTGCATTCTTTTTGAATGAAGAGAATGACAAAGAGTCTCTGATGGTTTCTGGCACTGTGTTCCATTGTTGAGATGCTCTTACGGAGAAAACAGCCTGACCAAAGGCTGTTTTTCTCTGGGGGATGATGCATTCTTCCCTCACTACCCCTCTGGTTACCCTGACCTCACTGGATCTGAACTGTACAAAGTCACATAGTGGAGGTGGTGCTAAACCATGTCTGATTTTATAAATTAAACAGATGTTTTTGAATTTGATAAGATTGTTCCAGGTAAGTAACTGATATTTCCTCAGAATACTACAATGGTGGTAGTGGTAAGGTTTTTTATCCAGTATTTTTAATGCTTGTTTATATAATGTTTCTAATGGTTTTATTGTAGTAGAGTGAGTATTGGACCAACTTATTATACAATATGTTATATGGGATAAAATCATGGAGAAAAAATATGATTTAGCAGCTTCAGTTGAAAGAAAATCTCTAATGAATCTGAAGTTTGCTAAACTTAATCCTATTACGAACCTTTTGGATATGAGTTTTGAAATTGAGATGCGAATCTATATGTAAACCTAAATATTTATATTCAGTGACGACCTGTAATCTTTCTCCAGATATTAAAATTTCAGGTTCTATATTTATGAGGTTGTTTTTTGAAAAAAACATGGTAACTGTTTTAGATATGTTCAGTTGCAGACAGGATTGCTCAAGCCAGGTTGACATCAGTGACATGGCCTCAGTTAGTTTTGCGGCAACTTCCTCTGTGGATTTTCCATAAGCCAAGATAGCTGTGTCGTCTGCATACATCAAAGTGTCACAGTTCTTGCACACAGATGGTAAATCATTAATATATAGACTGAAAAGAATTGGTCCTACAATTGATCCCTGTGGAACACCAGTTGATAATAGTAAGGGGGTGGAATTGTATTGGTCAATTCTTACACTTTGAGAACGAGATGAAAGGTATGAACTAATGAGGCTAATGAATTTGGGGGAAAAATTAAATGTACTGAGTTTGTACAGTAAAATGGAATGATTAACTGTATCAAAAGCTTTACAAAGGTCTAAAAAAATTGCTCCCACTATCCTTCCTTTGTCCATATTGGATTAAACCTTTTCCAGAAAATACCTTGTTGCCGTCTCTGTAGAATGATTAACCCTAAATCCAAACTGCATTGAGTGTAAAGGAAAGGAACTGCAATTAAGATGATTAATGATTTGTTTAGCAACCAGTTTTTCAAAAACTTTAGATAATGTTGGCAAAATGCTAATAGGTCGATAATTAGATGTCAGAAGAGAGTTGCCACCTTTAAATATGGGAATGACGCTAGCAAATTTCCATGGCTCAGGAAATTTCCCTTGGTCTAGTGACATATTAATGATGTGTGTTAGTGGACCAATAATTGACTGACCTATTCGTTTTAACATGTGTGTGTCCATCCCATACACGTCTTTTGCTCTTGAATACTTAAGCTGTTTAATTGCCTTTTCCACATCGGATATGGATACAGATGTTGGATTTAGTGGGGGCTCAATTATCAATTCTGAACTAAAGGCAGGTATGTTGTTATATTTCACAGGAAAACTTTTGACTATGGTCTCAACAGAATCAACAAAATATTAATTTAGTGTCTGTGCCACATCAGACTGATCCTGCAAAAGCATGCCATTGTTCTTCAACTGTATTAAATTGTTACTGGAAACAGTTTTACCTGTTAATTTATTAATCTGTTCCCAAATAGCTTTTGGGTTTCCATGACAGTTTTTAATAATTGTGATAAAGTCTGCCTTTGCTTTTCGTAGTTGTCTTGTCACTTTATTCCGTAATGAAACAAATTTTTGTCTCTCACAAGATAGTTTGGACTTATTGGCTTTTTTAAGGGCATTATCTCTGTCTTTCATTAATTGTTTGATGTCGTCACTGAGCCAAGGAAGAGAACACTTTCTGCTTTTGTGTTTAATTGTCACTGCAAATTCATTAATTTTTGTCTGTAAGCATTCAGTGAATTTCTGACTAATTATTTCTAGTTCATTATCCAATAGTAAAATGTCCCAGTTCATATTTCTTATTGCAGTGGGAAATTGTTCCTGTTTGTTCCTTGGAATGCCAATTAACTCCTTCTTTCCGGAATAGGCTGAGAATACATTATGCATATATTAAATAACTAGAACTGGAAGTTAGTTAATAGGTAATACAAGTCAAGGGTAAATCTAGTTATTTGTTATGAGTTGAATTACTATAACTGTAACTTGCTTACTGACCAGGGTTTTAGCCCCTTCCCTAAAGGGTTAGACTCCTGAATCTGGCTGTTAAAAATCCAGTTGTCTTTCACCGATTTAGTAATTTAGGCTGTGGCTATTAGCAGTGTTATTAATCACCAACCAAATAAATATCTCTGTTCATTCAGATGCTACTGAAAGAAGAATGAATCCAGCCTGAGTGATAAATTGTTCCCTGTGTAAAAAGAACACAAAAGACCACGAGTTAAAAGACAATGGTACCTTTATTAGCTACAATCACACAGTATTATATCTAATAACTAAGGAAAACAATAAACGCTACTAAAAATAGGCAGAATTAAAGAAATAAAAGGGGAAGAGGGGTTTAAGAGTCCTTTCAAAGTCTGCAGGATTTTAAGGCTTAATGCATTTAAAAGTGTCCTTTATAATAGCAGCAGATAAAATGTAAATAAACCCTGAAACACACACAGATGTTAGCTGCAGTCAAAGCACCCAAGCAGAGCACTGATTAGCATTAAGCAGTGGAAATGAGGGGGTGCAGTTACTGTTTTTGGTTTGGTGGAGGGAAGGCCTTCAGCTCGGTCCGGTTTCTGCAGACCCGTCTTCAGTCCAGTCCGTTCATCCAGCAGCAACTCAGAGATTTGGATCAATCTGATGCAACAATAAGAGGCGATTTGCAAGGGGGTTAATTTTATAACTTTCAGCAGAAAGTTTTCAATATGGTGTGATTATTTCAGACCTCCTGTGAGGGGATTTTACAAAGTGAAGATCACACATTTCAGCAAATGTCTAAATACGAAGACAAAATGTCTAAGATGGTGAGGAGCTCTGAAAGGGTCCAACAGGGGGATGCTCAGGGTTCTGGTTCATTTTCGTTGAGTTTTTCACAGTTAAACTTGGAAGTTTCAGTTCTCAGTGAAAGCTGACTGCATCTTTCATCCATATAAATATAAATATATCCTGTTTAGATTCTATTTTTTTCGGTGATCCGGTTCAGTCTGGATTCTCTCGTTTAGAAATTCCTCCTCTAATTAAATCAGAACTGACACATCCTGATGATTTGTGCTCCATCTTCTGACACAACCACTGGTTTCTTCACCTCAGTTTCTTCTTCTGTTGCTCCAAACCTCTGAGGAGTTCTCCACAGCAGGTTGATGTTGAAGCATTTATATCGAAGTATTGTAATCCTACAGGTTCTTTAGTTTCTTCTTATGGGTCCTTACATTAGTCTGGTTTTATAAAGAAAATGTTTATTATACTTAAAGGTGACTTTACTGTCCTGTTTCTTTGCTTCTGATGGGAATGCTAACTCTAGTGACTAATTGCTGTCATGTCTTTTCTCTTCAGCTTTAAAATTCATGCCACAGGAAAAGTCAAAGGAGGTAAACAAATATTTGTTTCAGCTGGATTTGATGTGATTGTGAATCTACTCATCGACAGCCTTGCTTTTGGTGCCACTGCAGTTTTTGAACAGGCTCTACCAGACTGATGTGGAGACTGCAGAGGGGAAGGACTGGAAGGAGGAATTTAAGGCTGTGAGGGAGCGGGAGCCTCCAGATAGCTGGGATGCAGACTTCCCTGATGGAGCCATGTCTCCACAAACTCCAGCCAACAAACCGTGGAAGGGGGCGGCCACTTTCATCCCTAAAATCCCCTCCAAAGCCTGCTCTGCTGAGAGCAAACGGGTGAGGTTTCTAGTCCTGAATAGTTCCTCAGGGAGGATTGCTGAGGTTCTTAGATCAGTAGCTAAAGTTGGAGCCCAACATTCAGACCTAAAGTATGCCCATCGGCTTATTTACCGCTGACTGACCTGGTGATTAATGAATCATGTTCTCCCTAGAGAAAAGAGAATAAAACCAAAGCGGAACGAAATGCTAAGCTGGTGAGTCCCAGTTAGTTTACAGAGGAAATGTTTGAGTTTAACTGCTGAATAACTTGTTGGTCTTCTTGGTTCCTGCAGCCTAATCAAATGAATATACTGGTGGAGGTCTTCAGCTCCCCCTCTGCTTTACCCGAAGACCCCGTACTCCGGAAGCAGCATCTGGAGGATCTCATGACAAAGATCCATGGCTCCTTCAGCTTCATGCAGGTGGTCCTCCATACTCTGTAAATCTAAGAAAGATATTCTTACTGAAACCTCCCACTGATGATGAGCAGGTGTCCCTCCATCAGGCTCTGCAGTGGCTCTAGCATCATGCTCAGGGTAGAAGGCTAGCACTCATGTTAGCATCGTGGTGCGTCTTTGATGCTTCCAGCGGCTGGGGTCTGAACATAGCATAAGAGCAAAGAGGCTCCTGCTGCTTCATTTCTGATGCTTGTCCACATTAAGGTCAGACGTCCATTTAAATGTGTCCAGATGCGTCTGATGCTTCTGCTGCTCCTGTGATCAATGGTAGAGCAGCTTTGCTATATTAGCTGTGATCAGCGGGTAAAAAGTAGTTTGAATCTATTTTGAGAAAGTCCACCTGAAAACATGGTCTGTGCAGTCAGTTCATCCAGATTACCATCCTGCCTGTCATTACCCGATCCGTACCGGAAGCACGATCCGTACCATCAGCTCATTTGCGCCTGCGCGAACAGAATAACTTCCGGTGGCAATATTTCATTTTTCTTACTTTTTTATTCTTTTGTATTTTTTAGAGGCATGGGTTTCTTTTTGTATATCTTTGTATTTTATATATTGCATTTTCTAAAAATAAAAAAACAGAAATACATAAAAAAGTTCAATCGCCTTGTGATAGTTACTTTGACTGCTCTGAGCATGCGCAAATATACGTCACACAGCGTATATATTTAAAATTGTTTAAATATTTGATTTACTCTGTACTTAACTATGCACTCCAGCAGTACTGATCCCACAATGGATTCATTTGCTACCTTTCGTGACCTGCAGTTTTTCATATATTCACAGACTGCTCTTAGCATGTCTGATGATGATGTCAAGCAATACAATGGATTGAATTTAAAAAGCATCCATTTCATCCAGAAAAGTCTTCAGTATTGTCTTTACGATGTAGTTTAGTATTATTTAATTATTTAAGGATATAAATAAAGTTTTTTCAGTTCCGTAATTACATTATTTTTTGGCGACCCGGAAGTTATTCTGTTCGCGCAGGCGCAAATGAGCTGATGGTACGGATCGTGCTACCGGTACGGATCGGGTAGCGACACTGCCTTCAAAGATTATTTCTCTGTGGGAGCTGCTCAGACCCCCACATACCGGCGCTGCGCTGTCACTGGGAATCCCCAGCAGCAGCTGCCTCAGGCCCCCTCGCCTCTTGGGGGTTTTCCCCTACTGTTGGTGGCGGCTGGAAGTAGATGTTAGCGTTTTTGACGTACATAATCCAAACTGCAGGCAGCAGGATAATGAAAGCGAACATATTCTGTCGGCAGGTTTCTACATTTTAAGTTAATTTAGGCGTTAGTGTTTCAGAGGAGTGATCATAGCGCTCTGCATCAGCAGTCCTGTGTCTGACTCCCTGCCAGCTCCCAGATCAGCTTCTCTGATTGGTTGATGTAGTGCATCCAGCAGCAAAGGTTCAAGTTTTCCCAACTTGAGCAGCTGCTGCTTCTGAAGTGCCTCAGAAGCTCGTAATGTGCTGCTCCTGCTGCTCTAAACCCGCTGCAGGACCTTTTGCTGCGCCTTGATGCACGTCAACCACTGACTTTTCATGTAAACTAGCTGCTTCTGCTCCCTCTGGCGCATGCGGCCTGAATGTAGCATTAGATTTCAGTTAGAAGTATTAAGCTCACCACTCTTCCTCTTCATCCTGGTTAGGGTATTTTGGAATGTTGGACATTGTGAACGGTGGTCAAGGCAGTGGTGAACCATTGGCTGCTCTGGCTTGTTGATGATCTCTGGCTGCAGAGGTGGGCCACTGTGGGCAGATTCAAAGGGTTCTGCTCCAGAGATGGGGGATCTGGAGTCAACAAGTCATCTCTGTCATGCATTTCTTCTGCCCAGCCACTGAACCAGGTGAGTCCAATCTGCAGAGTGAATGAACACATGACATAGATGACTTGACTCCAGATCCCCCATCTCTGTTCTGCTCTGATGGCTGAAGAAAGAAAAGCTATTGGGTAGAAGAACAGTGTCCAAATCCCTGCTTGGATCAGTTTGAGTATGGAGCTGCATTCGATCAGGATACTTCCTGCTGGTCATATTAGCTCACCTGGTCAAAGTGTGAGAATTTGTTTGAAGGAAAGTTTAATTAATGGATCAGTTTAGGTCCATTCATATCCACTCCATTATAAAGCAGACCTTTATTGTTTGTGTAATGTTTACATATCTGTTCTCCAATTTAAACCATCTGTCTTTTACAGGACTCCCTCCTGGATGGTGACACATCACTGACCAATGGTACACCCAGGCTAACTAGGCGTTCACCTGGAGCGCTCTCTCCTCTAGGTAACGTTAAACAAACTCATCTTCTCTTCGTTTATTAGCTTGTTTTCAGAGTAGAAGAAAGTGAGGTGAAATTTAAATCTTGTTGTCAAAAAAGCATTTGGCTGTCTCTTTCTTGGCAACAATGGAACTGTGACATCATACGCAATGTTGGCAACAGCAGAAGGTAGAACCCAAACAGTTGACAAAGTGGTATCTGGCAAATGCTACGGTTGGTTGGGGAGTGGCTTACGCCGCGGTTGGTTGGGGAGTGGCTTACGCCGCGGTTGGTTGGGGAGTGGCTTACGCCGCGGTTGGTTGGGGAGTGGCTTACGCCGCAGTAGGTTGGGGAGTTGGTGCGTTATTCCTCTTTCAGGACCAGCAGTCCCTTAGAAACCCAGAAACATAGGATGACACCCACACATCTCTGAGAAATTCTCTGTGCGAATTCATCTTTGAATGAATCCCTTTCAACATTTTCTCCTGGTACCACTTTCTCGCATGAACCAACTCTGTAAAATAGCGGCTTTACTTCAGACCTCGCTCTGAACCTTCAGTCTGTTTCCATATCAGAAGTGTTTTGGTACTTAAACCCTTTGAGTCTTCGTTTGGCAGCATTCCTGCCTTTTTTCATCTCTACATTTGAGTCGGATGCTAAAGTTCTCTATTCTTAATCTCTCCTGTCAGAATAAATGCACCTCTTTCTATAGGTTGATTGTTTTTAACTGTATGTTTTTCTTTTTTTTTCCCCCTGCCAGCCCAGGGATGTCTGAGAAGCCCCCCTGATTTTCTGGCCAAAACTCTGCATGTAAGATGGCTTTAATTTATTGTTGGCCATGTTCTTCTGAAATGATTGATTTGATGAGGTTTGGATTTCTTTATTTCCTGCGTTCAGTCAACCCCATTACCTCCCAGGCTGAGGGAGCGCAAAGCCAGTATGACGAGTGGGGATCAGAGCCTGGAGACCAGTGACCTGGAGCCCTCTGTGAAGCACCAGTCCCAAGTACCGCCAACATGCCTTTTGGTGGTCATGGGTGGTTTTTGTGTTTTTTTATTTAGTCACTCGTTCTATCTGGTCTTGTTTCAGGAGTCGCTCCAGCTGGCTGAAAGGAAGCGGCATTCCTCACCGCCTCTGTACCACCGGGAGGCTCTTGTATCTGGCCAGGAAGGGAAGAACTGTTCACATGTAAGCTGGAATCTAACCAAAGACTATTTTAATCAATGGATGAATGTGGAATCACTGACTCTTCTTTAGACCCCAGGAAGTGACTCAGGGAAGCAGTCCCCCTGTAATGGGCTGAGGTCCAACACCTCCACTCCACCCCAGGCAGAGTCCTTCTCCACCCCTCCAATGAGGAGAGCTCTCACTACATCACAGTTCCAGAACATTCACTCGGTAAGGTCCATCCAGTGGCTCAGTCCACATGGATAATCCCCATGGGTCCACTAAGCAGCGCTGAAAGTGTGGTAGTATGCATGCTGGGGCATTGCGTGGCACTGTGACACTGCTAGGGCATCCAGATGACAGGCGTGGGCTTTGTTTTGAATTTGAAGTTTGAATTTGCAAAATATCTAATATTTAACAACAAAAAATACTTAGTTAAGCAAATTGTGCATTCATAACATGTAGGCGAATCACTGTCCCCCAGACATCCGCGGTTATAATATTTATATTTATATTTTTTTTATCACAGCGGAGCGTGTATGATGTCATACGTGAATGTCTCTGACCAAACAATCAGATACAGACTTCACGAGGGTGGCCCGGGGGCCCGACGTCCTCCAGTGGGCCCTGTGCTCACTGCCCGGCACCGTGGAGCTCGATTGGCATTTGCCACAGAACACCGGAATTGACAAGTCGGCCACTGGCGCCCTGTGCTTTTCACAGATGAGAGCAGGTTCACCCTGAGCACATGTGACAGACGTGAAAGGGTCTGGAGAAGCTGTGGAGAACGTTATGCTGCCTGTAACATCGTTCAGCATGACCGGTTTGGTGGTGGGTCAGTGATGGTCTGGGGAGGCATATCCATGAAGGGACGCACAGACCTATACAGGCTAGACAACGGCACCCTGACTGCCATTAGGGTATTGGTATGAAATCCCTGCACCCATTGTCAGACCCTATGCTGGTGCAGTGGGTCCTGGGTTCCTCCTGGTGCACAACAATGCCCGGCCTCATGTGGCGAGAGTATGCAGGCAGTTCCTGGAGGATGAAGGAATTGATACCATTGATTGGCCCCCACGCTCGCCTGACCCAAATCCAATAGAACACCTCTGGGACATTATGTTTCCATCCATCCCACGCCGCCAGGTTGTTCCTCAAACTGTCCAGGAGTTCAGTGAATCCCTGAACGCCATCCGTCGTCTCATTAGCAGCATGCCCAGACGTTGTCAGGCATGCATACATGCAGGTGGGGGCCATAGAGATGACTGAATACCATTTGAAGTTGCTGCAGTGAAATTTCAGCAAAATCATTTTTTCACTGTAATGTTTGGGGTGCCTTTGAATTCGGGTCTCTGTAGGTTGATAATTTTCATTTCCATTATATGATGTGGCATCCTTTGTTTCTAACACATCACCCAGTCCATAGCAGGATAAATAAACAGCAGGACTTTTTGCCCCATTGAAAACTGATGTGTTTTCAAAGTGTTCCTTCATTTTTTTGAGCAGTGTAATATCACACCTTGTTACAATCTCCAGTGTTTTCGTTTTGTTCCTGACCTAAGGATTCATCACTCTTTGCCCGGCCCCTGGGGCTCCTTTGCCCTTGGCTCCTGTGGCTCCTGAAGGACATGTTGAACAGTTTCCCTCAGAGCAAACGGATCAAAAGAGGGAAAACTGGGATGAACTGAACAAACTGCCTCTCTGATCTCCCTAAGCTGACGGTGTCCTCCACCACTTTGGCTGTTGTTAAACTCATTAACTCACTGCGGTGCTGAAGCGTCTTAAAGCGTCATGTGTTGGTTGAAATGTCGCTCAGCTTCTCCAGCATTCTCTTCTCGGTCCTTTATTTCCTGCAGGTCTTCAAAATGGCTGCATCCTTACCCCACAACGGAGAGCTGCACTACAAATCCCATGGTGCAGTCTGCTCTGGGCCCAAGTACAGCACTGCCAGTACCCAGACCCCGCCAGAGTTCGCCCCCCCAGATGATGAGCTCCTGATGGGTAGGTGTGGAGCGACGTGTTGCCCCTGAGGTTTTGGGTGATGCTCTTCATGTCTGGCTCTTCTCCATGCAGGGTACCAGTCGGACTACTCGGCCATTAATGGTGGACAGATCTTCCCGTCCCCCGGCTTCTCTGCTCCATCCTACACCAGAGGATCTGTTAGAGGTATGACACCTGGTGGCAAGGGAGCGCCTCACACCTTTTGGTCCTCTGGGCGCCAAGTTATCGCCCCTCAACACCCCTCCTCTTCCTCACTGCGTGGTATCTCCTCTGCTTATGGCCAAGCTCCTCAGGTCTCCATGACTGTTTTATTCTGTGTTTCTCCCTGCAGGAGGACCCTATGCCCCCCCACCCCATCTCAGGGACTCTGGCCCTCTTCTCTATGCAGCTAAAGTAAGTCCTCATCTTCCAGTTCAGATTGCTTACGCTCTAAAACGGTCTGGCCTCCTTCCATGCTGATGTGGACCTCTGACTGTGGTCCCATTGGGAATAGATCAGTGGTTAAGTTTTACTCCCCTGCATGTTTAACACATCTGTCTGCTGAGGAACAGTTGATTACAGAGGCTGTGTATGACCCTGACCTCTGACCCCTCCATCACTATATAGAGCAGGGCAATGTTGTGACAGTTCATGGTTAAAAAGCTCAGTTCAGTTCACTCAGGTGGAAATGAACTGCTAATGTTCATTGTTCACTTTTTCAACAAATGAACTTAGTTCCCAAACCTATAATTGAACTAGCTGAAGTTAATTTGGTAAATGAAGCCTCAATCCTCCACAATAGAAGCTTATATTTCCCCTCTTCAAACTGTTAGGGAAGTAATTAAATTTCAAATCATTCTGGCTTAAACATGTATATAAATGTACTCTTTATCAGACCATATTTTCCCAAAAGTTAGAAAATTTCTATAAAAAAAAAATCCTGTCTTAAAATCTGTGGGGGTTTTTTCGTCATCTTCTGCAGGCAGTTAGTTCTACGTCAGCCTGAACACCTACATTCGACCAATCCTATATAAACGGTCATCTGTCAATCAAATTTTTTCGGTCATAGCATCCTGATTCACATGTTGCAGCTAATATACGCAATGGTTGAAATCAGAAATCAGAATCCTTTCCTTTCCCATTGAGTTGCGTCCCAGTGTTCACGGGGATGGACGTCTGTGTCTTCAGCAGACGTAGAGCTAACAGAACTGGCAGCGTTGCGAGGCAAGGGCTCAAACATGTACGGCTGGAAGCCTTCTACACCAAACCAAGCTTCTGCCGCCCTGGCGTCCTCTTCCACAACATCTTCGTCCCCGCTTTCCTCCTCTAAATAAAAAAATGGATGACGGAGGAGACTCATCCACGACCTCCGACACTAAACTCTCCTCCTCTTGCATGTTTCCGCTGTTGTCAGGTCTAACACCTAAAACACTAGGAGAGAAAGGCACAAAGTCAGAAATCTTTTTAGGAGAGTAGGAAGAGACCGTGCATCTCCACCCCACTCTGCCGGTCTTCAGCTTTCTCTTCACTATTTATTAAAGTGAGGGGGTCCCTAGTTACACAAGCTGAGGTTGCATTAAAGGAAAGGGAAACAAGATAGACAATTCCATTTGCAGCCTCAGTGAACAGGTCAGTTTGCATTTAAATATCTTGCTGTCAAATGGTAAAAAAACGGCTGGTTTCATTAAGCTTGAGCAATACTTCCTGAAAGTTGACCTATACTGCTTGTGCAACACCTCTCTGGAACAGTAATATGTCACACATTATACATAAGAACAAACATTAAGTATCTTATTCATAATTATTCCAACATTTCCCCCCCTGTTTATGGTGTATGTCAGTTGATCAAAGTAATACAGATATCACCAAGCAGTCGCTTCAAAGGTGATTTTTGACCATCAGCTCATACTATAATGTAGATACATTCACTTACAGGTGGAGGAGCTACAAGTTCCCTCATGGCGGGCAAAAAACTGTTCCACATTCTGATCATCATCACCTTCACCTGCAGAGTCTGTGTGGGTGATGAACGGATACACTTGCAGCAGCTGCTGCTGCGGAGAGGAAATAGCCGTTGAAATAAGCCTCTGAATGAGGCTTCGAATGCAGGGAATTAGAGAGCAGCTGCACAGGGTCAAGATGGCGGCAAACACAGCTATGGACACCAAGGACTGATATTTGCCAAACGTGTCCAAACATGAGTCCCACATAGATGTGTCCACGCCGGAATGCTCTTTCATTTTACCATTCAATGACCTGAGACCCTCCAGGGCTATGGTCAGGCTGCCGTTCGAAGCTGTAGTATTAGTAGTATTGCTCGCCGAATACAGCACAGACTCCGCCTTTTTCTGCTAACATTTCTAAAGCTATTCTATTTTGGAAAGCCATAAATGAAGTCGCAGCCACTTGTCCATGTACAGTTTCAAAACCACTTTGGGTCCAGTTTCCTAACTTCTGGACATTGTAATGTTTAAACGATCAACATTTTTATTTATGGTGCAAAATCAACCTCTAGGCAAGTTGCATCAACAGCCTCCAGCATCTCCAACAATTATAAATGGGGGCTTACCCGAATTACGACTAATTTAAGCCCATTTAATAATTTCAAAGCCTTGTCATATCTTTGGTACAAAAAGCTTTCCATCTACTCTTTCTAATCACTTTCTTTACACCTTCTATTCTACATTGCATGTCTTCTAGCACTCTGCTCCCTCTTGCTTTCCACAAACCTTATCTGAATCATATATCTCTTTCAAAAGAGAGGTTTTTAGTTTTCTTCCTTTGGTACTTCTTCCCCACCTACAGCGCATTCTTCTTCGTCCCGTTGCCTTCTAGCCTCTTCCCCACGTCCCCTTGGTCCTGTCTAATTATCCTCATCTCTGTGAAACATCAGTCTTTTCTTTTCCCTTCGCTTTGATTTAGTTCTACAAAAATCCATATGTATTATTTGAAACGGATATGTGGGATAGGGAAACTTCCCACGTTTAGGTCTTAGATTTACTTGTTGATTGTATTTAGCGCATGTTAGACATGTTCTACAAAAACTTTTTGAACGGTTGTTAAAGCCATATGTTGTATAATGTTGATTAACCTGTCCTACCATCTCTCCTGTTGAGACATGTGTAACACCATGGCTCAATGTAGCTGCTGCTTTGAATACGGAGGAGCTGCTGTTCCCACAGGGTCTACCCTTTAGAGTAGTACGCTACAGGTTTGAGCTTTTCACCATGAGGCTGTAACAACAGAGTTCATAAAACTAGCTTTACCGTCGACTGTTTGGATGAATGGTTTTTGATAATTTGGTAGAGCTAAGACAGTTGCTGAGAATAGTTCTGTTTTAGCTCTGTGAACTGCTGTTCTGCTTCTGGGGTCAACTAGATTGTCTCTGACATGGCGATTGATGTGTCATAATTAAGGCTTAAGAGAAGCTGAGTTTGTTTCTGCATAATGTGGAATATAAACTCTGCAGTAATTGCACAATCCTAAAAAAGACATTTGTTCTTTACTGGCTTACGCTCACTTGCTATTACAGTTTTTCCCTTTTCTTGTATCTTTTTTACCTTCTGAAATAACATGGCCCAAGCAACAGACTTGTTTCTGCACCCGATAAATTCTTCATAACTGGTTTTATACTTTCCTTTGCTTCACATTTTAGCAGATATTTCTTTATTTTTGGCCTATATTGCGATTTAGGAACTATATTAACTGGATCTACAGTTGTCAATAGTCTTGAATCAGTTGGTCCCGTAGACCACAAAGCATTTGGGATATCTTTTAAATAATTTTCATCTGATTGTGATAGCAAAGAATCATGAGTTATTTCTACTCATGCTAAATCTTGGACCTGGGGTTTTACATCAGAGTTTTATAAGGCTGTTTCCATAGTAGGGAACAGATCGGCATGGAGCTGAGACGATAAGCATGTTGAATAAAACACAGGAGGATTTTGTTGCAACGTCATTACATTTCCTATTCGTACAGCCTTCATCCCCACCCTGCGTGGGGAAAATTGCAATGCCTAATTTTACCTTCCTAACAGATTAATGGGGTGAGTTGGTGATATTACTAAAGAAGCATGCAACCCTTTTCCTGTTTGAAGGTCTTCTATTTCTATTACCCTGGACAAATCTAACTGCCTGTCCATTAATTGTAAGTACTATTTGTTTGTTTTATTCCTTTTAATGCATTCAATAGCTCCCATGCTCCCCTTTTTTTAAAGGTTCTGGATTTGCTCTAGCCGTCCCTGCAGCCTCTTCCCAAATCTGATTGGAAACCAATGTTCTGTTGACCCACAATTCCAGCATCCCTCATCTGTTTTTACTGGTCTGGGCTGAAAGCCCCCTCGGCCCCTAGGACCGCCCCGGCCTCCTCGATGCCTTCGAGGGGTCCGATGGCTTGGAAAGAAAATATTTCTTCTGGGTCACATATAGAATCGGCCCAGAATATTTATGCCTCCCCCTCCAGATGCACCACCTCCCTTTTTAGCATAATGTTTGGCATTGCTGTGGTTCCATTAGGCCATGGGTGTAGGTTTGCATAGGGACCATAGGGACATGTCCCTACCAAAATTTTTGTCCCTATATAATAATTGCATGTGAACAACATGGTTGCAGCAGTGGCTTCTTTTCCTCTCGGAGCTTCTCTGCCTAGTAGCTGCAGTTTCCTGCTCTTTCCTGTCCCTTTCCCATAGCAGCGCATCAACTGTGCTGCACTGTTTAACTCCACTGTCTGATTTTTGAGTGATCATTTTCTAGGCTGTATGTGTGCGCGCGTGCGTGCTTGGAGCGCGCAAAAAAGACACTAGAGTACGCTGAAATTACCAAAATTAATATTGGGCTACGAAACTAGTCCCAATTAAAAAACTAAATATTTACGCAAAAACAGGCTAAAGCTTCTGACTGCAGTTCTGTATAGAAGCAGGAGAGAGTTTGGATTTGATGAACTTGAGAAATGAAAGTAACCAACGTTAGGATTTCTTTTCTCAAACTAAATATTCTGAGTCAGACAGGAGTTCAGAAAACTGCTGTTAAAAAGAACAAAGACTGTAAACTATCAACATATCTGATTCCATTTCACCAATATTTCTATTAATGTTTTCATTTTCACGGCAGTTCAGGTATAAATAACAGGTTTTATTTATTTTATAGAACATAACATGAGAATGATGCTAAAGATCTGCTAATTTTTGTTTTCCACATAAAAATAGTTCTATTTAATTGATTCTACTTCTAGAAATAGGATAAAGACAAACAGAGGAACTCTATTTACACTGATTCTGTTTTTCTAGATTTCCACACAGTCAATAAGTAAATTAGTACATTAATGTCTGGTAAATAATGCTTGAATCTGGCTGTTTATTTTAGATACTATTACATTACAGAAAAGATAGTGTTATATTGTCTTTTATGATTGTTAAAAGTGATTTTATATTTGAATAAACTTAGGCTCATTTTCAGTGTTGTTTGTAGATGATGCCACTAAAAAGAAAATAGACATAAGGAGCTATTTAAAAACAGTAGCAATATAGGATGATGATAAAAGGTTGTTAGGTTTAATTCTTAAACTCACTTGTATAATAGAAACATTATATGATTGTAGGAAACAGATATAATGCTGCAGGGCAGCCTCAGGGTGAAGCAGCTGCCCTTCACTGCTGCATGATGGAAGAAATGTGTTTGAAAAGTTACCATAAAATTAGGGCTGCAACTAATGATTATTCTGCTAATTGATTAATGTGTCGATTCTTCTTTCAACAAATTGATTAATAATCAGATCAGCCAAAGGTTCCTTAAAGATTTTTTTTTAGTAAATTAAATCAGGTGAAACATACATTTCCTCTTGAGGAGTTCTGGATGGAGAATATTGATGGACAAAGACTTTTTTTTTTTTTTTTTTTTTTTTTTTTTAAACGCAAAATGTTTACTTTTTTTTTTTTTTTTACAATCTTGGTATAATTCCTGCTCTAAGTGGGTCGCTCTGTCAACTAAAGGCATATTTTAGTGGCTCTATACTCCAGTTAACGATTAATCAATTAATGAATTAGTTGATTATTTAAATAATCGATTAATATGATTGTTTCATCCATAGATAAAATAAATGAAATTGGCGACACAGTAACTACAGCCCAGATTTACAACTTGTATTGTGAAGTTAATATTTTAAATGCTCAGTGTCAGTTCCTCTGATAGCTCCAGTGCTAATGTAGCATAAAAAAAGAGCATGCATATTTTTGCATATGACCGATGACATCAGACCAATGAAACTGAAGACCCAAAGTGTCCCTCTGAAGTTGAAATCAAACCTATGCCCTTGCATTAGGCCTTGCCAGTTTAAATAATTATGTATTTTTAACCCACTCTGAGATATGTGGCTCGAAACTTTCCATTAACATATTTTAGTTGCTGCTGGCATGGTGTTTCATTTCCATCAGCATAGGGTATACTGCTGTAAAATCTATACTCCTTTTCAAAATGAATGAACTCATCTACGTTTTCTCCCGTTTTTTTATTTTATGGACCCTAAATGTCTATAATCCGCCCTCCTGTGGGAAATTTCAGGCTGCGTCTGCCGCAGCTTTTCTAACTTCCAAAGACTGGAAACTGATTGTTGGAGGCTGCTGATCTCCTAGATCAGGATTTGCGACCTTCTGCAGCATATATAAAATCCTTTTGGTTGGTCTGTAGATAATGGAAGATCTAATTTACTCACTTCATCCAAGTCTGGATACAGATTTGGAATCTGCCTGGGGGGTTAAGGGTTTGATGGTCGCTACCATAGTTTGCGTGACTAAAGTAGTTTTCTGGCGGGTTCTTTACATTTGTTTATAACCTAATATTGCTGGAGACCAATCAGGCCCTGGCTGTCAGCTGCAGTCAGCTCTGCAGTTGCTGTTCATTGTGATTGTAACACCTAGGGTATTCTAAAACACTGGTTTATTTCAACAGGACAATACTTAAGATACTGTTGTGGTAATTTTCTAATTCTTGCCTTCATGCATCCATAAGGGTCGTATTGTTTGCTTTTCCTGTTGCTTTTATATGAAATACTTGTACCTAGCAGTAGTAATACTCCCCCCCCCCCCCCGTTAACTCCCCCCCCCCCCCCCCACCTGTTTTTTTCTTATATATGTCCTATTTTATCACAGACAATCCCAGGGGTCTGTTCCCCTATTAGGACTGTTTTATCTTGCATGAACAGAGTCTAGAATCCTTCAGGTCTTTTCCCTCAGTCAGGTTTTTCACTTAAACCTACTCACGGAATTTACAGGACTCCGCCGTCCTATTTACAGAATTTACAGGACTCTGCCATCCTCCTGTGTGCCTTTCTCCCAGGGAAGCCAGGGAACGGGGATGAATCCAGTCCCGTCAAAGGTTCTGAAGGACTTAACGGTCCTGCTGTGGCCACAGTCTTTCTGGATTTCACCCACATCCACTGGAATCAACAATGTGTTGGCATCCGCCTCGAAGGACCAATTTAATGTCAGGTCTAACACCTAAAACACTGTAAAACAATGAAAGAAAGGTGGAGACTCAATTCTTTTTACTCGCGAGGAGAGTAGGAAGAGACCGTGCAGGTATATCTCCACCCCACTCTGCCGGTCTTCAGCTTTCTCCTCACTATTAAAGTCGGGGGTCCCTAGTTACACAAGCTGAGGTTGCATTAGAGGAAAGGGAAACAAGATGGACAATTCAATTCGCTGCCTCAGTGAACAGGTCAATTTGCATTTAAATGTCTTGCAGTCAAATGGTCCGAGAATGGCTGTTTTCGTTAAGCTGGATCAATACTTCCTGAAAGTTGACCTATACTGCTTGTGCAACACCTCTCTGGAACAGTAATATCACACATTATACATCATAGGAACAAACATTAAGCATCTTATACATAATTATTTCAACAGCTGTGCATAGTGTTCATTGACAGTGTCGTTTCTAAGTCATCAATTCAGCGCTACTTCGTCCCAATGGAAATACCCATTAGGAACCTATTAGCACTAAGTTGCTAACTGGTTAGCAAGATGCTTACGACAAACCGGCCACAGCTAAACTTGCTTGCGGACCTCTCGCCACAACAATCCCGCCCCCTTGATAAACGACCAATAGCATTCACTTTATTCACTTGTGTAAATTCGGGCAACACTAGGGAGAATTCAGAAATGCAACAGTTGGAACAGCAGTTTCCCTACGACTTTAAATGTGATAATGTATAGAAAGAAATGGAAAATCCTGGATGCAGTCCAGGTTTAATGGATGTCCAGTGAAGCCTTTATTTAGCCAAATGACTCAGAGCTTCAGGAACATTCAGGTTCTGCTGAAAAGATCTGGATCCAAAGGATTTCTTCTGTTCCTCATTCAGTAGCAGATATTTCCACAGATAGCTTGGATGAACATGTAAAGTGAATCGAATATGTAGAGAAAATGATCTTTCAGATGAATTTTAACTTTTATTAGTAATGTTAAGTTTTTTTTTTGTTTTTTTGTTTTTTACATTTCAACAAAAAATAAAAACGATAAGAACTCTGCTTCTGTCTCCTTGAACCCCAGTGGGCCTCGGCAGATGGCTGCTCACACTGAGCCTGGTTCTGCTGGAGGTTTCTTCCTGTTAAAAGGGAGTTTTTCCTCTCCACTGTTGCTACAAGCATGCTTAGTGTGAGGGATTGCTGAAGAGTCAATGGGTTGATGCATCAACTGGTTTTACTTAGATTGAAAACTTTGAATCAATTTGACTGGATGATCTGGTGAACTGGAAAGTGCTTTAAGATGACATGTGTTGTGAATTGGCGCTATAGAAACTGAATTAAATTAAATAAGAAATGATTACTTAGAATTTCTGATTGTGAGCAATACATTTTTTAACTGCATCTTTTCAAACTTTCTGCTCCTAAATTCAGAAGAACAGTGAAGTCACCACAACTATTAACCCAGAGAAGCTTTTAGATGTAATCGGCTCTTTACAGTGATCTAGCCAGGGACCCGGTCGCCGCGGCCAGGGGCCCCGGTCGCTTCACTGCAGCTGTTGGTTAAAGGTGCAACCAGAGATGGAACAGATGACGTCCTAATATTCATGTTAACATAGTTTAAGGTTGAGAAGAAATGCTAATTACAGTGTGAGGCATGGCGGTGGCTGCAGGGATTTCTGTGGAGTTCTTCCTAAAGAATCTGTCTTTTTTTTTTTTTTTCCCAGGACTCTGGATATCAGCACATGTTCAGACGAGGAGGAGGCAGACATGGCTGCAATGGTACGAACACAAACCATTTTCTCAGTGAGAGTAACAGCTTAGCCAGCAGACTCTTTAGGCCTGACTGTAGATCTGCACCTAGTTTCAACAGTATGGTTGGAACAGAATAAGCAGTGGGAACCTCCAACCTGTGAGAAAACGATAGCATTTTCTTCTAATAGCTGTGAGAGCAACTCTTAGAGGCTGTGCTAGCCACTCACGTTGGCTAACATTAGCTAAGATCAGTCATGATTGTTATTATTCACTACCAGATCTGTGCTGGGAAACCCCGATCTGCACAAGCAGATATTAATCCAGGTCACTATAAATATTGTAATTATAGAAGTATTTATTTCTATCCTTAAATCACTAAAGACTAGATTTGGTCTTTTATAAAGTAAAATCGAGGGTGAACTGGAGGTATATCGGGTAGCGCAGATGAGCTGATGGTACAGATCGGGTAATGACGATGTTGGCTAACCTGCCTCTGTTGGCCCCGCCTCCATCTGCTCTGCTGTGTGTCATTTTATCTTGGGCAGGATGAGGGTGTCTCTACCCGATCCGCCCCTAGAGCGCCATCTGTCTTACGCATGCGCGAACAGATTATCTTCCTATCTTCTTAGCCTTTGGAACGTTACTGTGACGGCTCTGAGCATGTCCCATGATGACGTCATCACGCAATACAATGGAGAGAATCGAAAGCGTTCAATACTTTCTATATGATCTAGTTTCACATTCTTTAATGTTTTAAGTATTTTCAGTACCGTTATTACGTCGTTGTCGGCGAGCTGTATCTGTTCGGGAACGCTAAGGATGGATGGCGCTTCCAGGACAGATCGGGTAGTGACGGAGCGACCTGTACCTTCTACAGTAGACACGCCTCCTCTTCTATAAAATATTGCTGAAATGTTTATCTCTAACAGGAACACGCAACAATGGTGTCACTCGTCAAGTTTAGATTTAAATGACGACTCAGAATAAACTTTTAGCACTTTTTATTGGAACATTTTTTAAGTCTAGGGTTTTATAAAGGTGCTGATTAACTCTATTCAGCCCGATGCAGAGAAGACGGACCCTGAAGTAACCAAGAGGTCTCAGTGACTCAGGAGTTGGTTTAATTCTGCCGCATTCCAAACAGGAAATGTTCCTCTCACCGTCTGCTCTGTTAACTGATATTAACTTCCTCTTTTCCTTTGTGCAGCAGCCTGGAGTGACTCTTCCCCAGTGAGCAGCCCCGACAGGGATGGAGCGTTTACCATGGTGGACTCGGGTCACGGGGATTCCCTGTCCGTGTCGACGGTGGAGGTGCCGCTGACGCCGCACAGCCATCCGCCTGCAGCCTTACTCCCCATGCCTCTCTACCCGCTCTCCCAGCCGCTGCGCGTGGCCTTCACTGCCTCTCGCACTGCCAACTTTGCACCAGGAAACCTTGACCAGCCTATAGTGTTTGACCAGCTGCATAGCAACCTGGGGGAGATGTACGACGCCCACATCGGCCACTTCACCTGTCCTGTGAACGGGACCTACGTGTTCATCTTTCACATCTTGAAGCTCGCCATCAACGTTCCCCTCTACGTCAACCTCATGCGTAACGAGGAGGTGATGGTCTCTGCGTATGCTAACGACGGAGCCCCCGACCACGAGACCGCCAGCAACCACGCCATTCTGCCCCTCTTCCAAGGAGACCAGGTGTGGCTCAGGCTGCACCGCGGCGCCATCTATGGCAGCACATGGAAGTACAGCACATTTTCAGGCTTCTTGCTTTATCAGGAATGAAAGATTAGAATGAGGGTTGGTGTTTCACTAAGGTTTCAGGACCTACTCTGGTTTTCCCCTCTGCAAAACGCTAAAACTATGCGCTAGTATCCGGTGCTGTCACACAGAAGCCATTTTTTTTTTTTTTTTTTTTTTAGATCAAAGTTAAAAGCAGTCGCCATAAAACCATGCTATACTTCACCTGCATGGCCTGTAGGTTTGACCTCCCAATGACTTCTATGCGATGTTCCTGATCGATTTTCTGGAAGGCGTTTGGTAACCTAGCAGCAGCTGCATGGGTCGCAGCTTTCTGCCGTAGAAACCATGACGATGAGGGGGGGATGCTGGTGTTGGTGGTGGGTGTGGTGCCGTACACATGAGACTAGAAATGAGCACCTACATGCCTTTTTGTGGAATACAGGAGGCTTCTTGTTGTGCCTGAATAAAAGATGAGCAGCAAACTGTTGTTTTTGTTTTTATTGAAACTGCTGGTGGTTTTTCATGTATTAGTTTTCTTCCACTAACAAACAACTGCTTACCAACAAAGTTGTCTCCTCCAATACGACCAGGTGCTGCAGAATCAAACCTAATGTGTGAAGTAAAAAATGTTTGTCTGTTCTTAGCATCACAGGCTCCAAACGGTCATGAGAGATGAGAATGAGTCACACGGCCTCCTTCATGGCATGAAGGGGAGGACTGCTGTTATTAGGAGATCCATCTGGCCAGTGGAAGATATATTAACCTAACAAGAAACGGCCTTGATAAACTAAAGTCGTTTTTCCTCCAAATGTTCAAGTTTGAGAAAGTTCTTTATGCAGGGGGTGGGTTGGTTCCCCTGGTGGGGAGTGTGTGTTGGGAGTTTTTTAAGGTATAAATGTACAGGTCCTTCTCAAAATATTAGCATATTGTGATAACGTTCATTATTTTCCAGAATGTAATGATAAAAAGTGAACATATATTTTAGATTCATTGCACCCTAACTGAAATATTTCAGGTCTTTTATTGTCTTAATATGGATCATTTTGGAATCCAGCTCATGAAAACCCAGAATTCCTATCTCACAAAATTAGCATATCATAAAAAAGGTCTCTAAACGAGCTATGCACCTAATCATCTAAATCAACAAATTAACTTTAAACACCTGCAAAAGATTCCTGAGGCCTTTAAAACTTCCAGCCTGGTTCATCACTCTAAACCCCAACCATGGGTCAGACTGCTGACCTGACTGCTGTCCAGAAGGCCATCATTGACAGCCTCAAGCAAGAGGGGATGACACAGAGATGGGTCCGTCTGAGGACGTTCCATCAATTTGAACCTTATTTTTTGCAGCTGATTTACAACCGTAAGGAAAAGATGACTGAAACACAGGCCAAAAAAAAAAATCTTGTAGGACTTCAGTGGTGTTACAGAAAGTCTTACTTTTCCAAATATTCCTGTTTTTATTCTTGTTTTCCCTGAATCACTTTCCATTGCAGCTAATATTAAAACTTTTACCGTTATGAATAAACAGTAATTTGTACCATTTGTGAGTTAATTTTTAGTCTGTATTATTAACCCCCGATCCAGAACATTCTGTGGAGTACAGCCTTGGATGGTTTGACTGCATAGTTTAAAAAAGGAGCGCACCAAATAAACCGGTTCTTTTATTTTATAGGAAAAAAACAAAATGTCCTTAAATGCAGCGAACGCAGCTGAAAGCTCTTCTTGTTTCATGAAGCGTTTCCACACATTAGCAAACTATCACTACTGTAACTGGATACTGATACCTGCTGGACATTTACAATCACTACAGGCAGCCTCTGACTAAAGAGGCGCTGATTGGATGAAAATAAAATGATTTAAGCCGTTGTTTGCTATAATGGATTATGTCAGGTCATATGTTTATTTATAGATGCAATCCATAAATGTGAACATATAACAGGAAAATAACGATCATAATATTCTTTTAGAAAGACTTGAATATTTTGTTGGAATTAAAGGAAGAACAACTCTCCTTACTTTATACATGCTCCCAATCGACATGGGATTCATTTCCACTGTTATGCTGATGATACCCAGCTATATTTGTCTATAATCCAGATGAAGCTAACCCATTACATAGATTACAGGCATGTCTTGAAGACATAAAAACCTGGATGACTCTTAACTTTCTGCTTCTGAATGCAGACAAAACAGAAGTTATAGTCTTTGGACCAGAGTCTCTGAAAAAGAAACTGATTAGTCAGTCACTTCATTTGGATGGGATTAAACTGATTTCAGATAATAAAGTAAAAAATCTTGGTGTTGTTTTTGATCAGGACCTGTCATTTAAATCCCAGATCAAAGAGGTTTCTAGAATTTCCTTCTTTCATCTGAGGAATATTGCAAAAATGAGAAATCTCCTGTCCAGGGGTGATGCTGAGAAACTAGTCCATGCATTTGTTACTTCAAGGCTGGACTATTGTAATTCTTTACTATCAGGAAGTCCACAAACTGTAGTTAAAAGCCTTCAGCTGATCCAAAATGCTGCAGCCAGAGTTCTGATGAAAATGAAAAAGAGAGATCATATCTCTCCTATCCTGGCTTCTCTTCATTGGCTTCCTGTTAAATCCAGAATACAGGTGCTGGTCATAAAATTAGAATATCATGAAAAAGTAGATTGATTTCAGTAATTCCATTTAAAAAGTGAAACTTGTATATTATATTCATACATTACATACAAACTCATATATTTCAGATGTTTATTTTGTTTAATTTTGATGATTACAAATGACAACAAATGAAAATCTCAAATTCATCATATCAGAAAATTAGAATATTGTGAAAAGGTTCAAAATTGATGGCCCCTGGTACCACACTCTAATCAGCTAATTAACTCAAACCACCTGCAAAAGCCTTTAAATGGTCTTTCAGTCTAGTTCTATAGGCTACACAATCATGGGGAAGACTGCTGACTTGACAGTTGTCCAAAAGACGACCATCGACACCTTGCACAAGGAGGGCAAGACACAAAAGGTCATCGCTAAAGAGGCTGGCTGTTCACAGAGCTCAGTGTCCAAGCACATTAATAGAGAGGCGAAGGGAAGGAAAAGATGTGGTCGAAAAAAGTGTACAAGCAAGAGAGATAACCGCACCCTGGAGAGGATTGTGAAACAAAACCCCTTCAAAAATGTGGGGGAGATTCACAAAGAGTGGACTGCAGCTGGAGTGAGTGCTTCAAGAACCACCACACACAGACGTATGAAAGACATGGGTTTCTGCTGTCGCATTCCTTGTGTCAAGCCACTCTTGAACCACAGACAGCGTCAGAAGCGTCTTGCCTGGGCTAAAGAGAAACAGGACTGGACTGCTGGTGAGTGGTCCAAAGTCATGTTCTCTGATGAAAGTAAATTTTGCATTTCCTTTGGAAATCAAGGTCCCAGAGTCTGGAGGAAAAGAAGAGAGGCACTTCATCCACGTTGCTTGAAGTCCAGTGTAAAGTTTCCACAGTCAGTGATGGTTTGGGGTGCCATGTCATCTGCTGGTGTTGGTCCATTGTGTTTTCTGAGGTCCAGGGTCAACGCAGCCACATACCAGGAAGTTTTAGAGCACTTCATGCTTCCTGCAGCTGACCAACTTTTTGGAGATGCACATTTCATTTTCCAACAGGACTTGGCACCTGCACACAGTGCCAAAGCTACCAGTACCTGGTTGAAGGACCATGGTATCCCTGTTCTTAATTGGCCAGCAAACTCTCCTGACCTTAACCCCATAGAAAATCTATGGGGTATTGTGAAGAAGAAGATGCAATACACCAGACCCAACAATTCAGAAGAGCTAAAAGCCACTATTAGAGCAACCTGGGCTATCATAACACCTGAGCAGTGCCACAGACTGATCGACTCCATGCCACGCCGCATTGCTGCAGTAATACAGGCCAAAGGAGGCCCAACTAAATTCTGAGTGCTGTACATGCTCATACTTTTCATGTTCATACTTTTCAGTTGGCCAACATTTCTATAAATCCTTTGTTTTTATTGGTCTTCAGTAATATTCTAATTTTCTGATATGATGAATTTGAGATTTTCATTTGTTGTCATTTGTAATCATCAAAATTAAACAAAATAAACATCTGAAATATATGAGTTTGTATGTAATGTATGAATATAATATACAAGTTTCACTTTTTAAATGGAATTACTGAAATCAATCTACTTTTTCATGATATTCTAATTTTATGACCAGCACCTGTAGAATTTAAAATCCTCCTTCTCACATATAAAGCCTTAAATAAGATAAGATAATCCTTTATTTGTTCCACAGTGGGGAAATTGCAGCGTTGCATCACAGTGAACAGTACAGTAGGAAAAAAGAAGAATACAAAGTATAAAAAATATTTAAAAATATATAAAAAATATACATTAAGTATATACAGACAAGGCAACACTGGTATAAAGTGACAACAGTAAAGTTCTGTGCAAATGATTGATTGTATTAAATTATTGCAGATTTAAATAGGTATGAGTGATGTATACAGTAGATATGCAATAATAACAGGTAAAGTGACGGTGGACATATGGATGATACGGAGCTAGCATTGTTGGTTGTACAGTCTGACAGCAGCAGGAAGAAAGGATCTGCGGAATCTCTCCTTTATACAGCGAGGGTGTATCAGTCTTTCACTGAAGCTGCTCTCCAGAGCAGAGAGAGTGTCCTTCAGGGGGTGGTCCTCATGGTCCAGCATAGACATGAGTTTGGACAGGTCACTCCTGTCCCCCACCTGCTGTACAGAGGACAGCCCAGGACTGAGCTGGACCTCTTGATGATCTTGTCTAGTTTTTTTCTGTCCCTCTCCGTAATGCTGTTGCCCCAGCAGGCCACACTGTACAGGATGGCTCATGCCACCACAGAGTCGTAGAAGGTCTTCAGGAGTGGCCCTCTCACCCCAAAAGACCTGAGCTTCCTCAAGAGGTAGAGCCGGCTCTGGCCCTTCCTGTACTGAGCCTCTGTGTTGTGAGTCCAGTCCAGTTTGTTGTTGAGATGAACACCCAGGTACTTGTAAGTGTCCACCCTCTCAATGTCCTTTCCCTGGATGTTCACTGGAGGAGGGACCGTGGGACCGCGTCTGAAGTCCACCACCATCTCCTTGGTCTTTCCCGCGTTTATGAGGAGATGGTTCAGCTGACACCAGTCCACAAAGTCCTGAATGAGTCCTCTGTACTCCGCGTCGTCATCATCTGTGATAAGGCCAATGAGGGCGGAGTCGTCGGAGAACTTCTGCAGGACGCAGCTGTCCGTGCTGTGTCTGAAGTCTGCAGTGTAGAGGGTGAAAAGGAAGGGCGCTAAGACCGTTCCCTGGGGGGCCCCCCACACTACAGGTCCTGATGTCAGACACACAGTCTCTCGTCCTCACAAACTGGGGCCGGTTTGTGAGATAGTCCAGGATCCAGTCGGCCAGGTCACAGTCCACTCCTGCAGTCTCCAGCTTGTCTCTCAGGAGCCTCGGCTGGATGGTGTTGAAGGCGCTGGAGAAGTCAAAGAAGAGAATCCTCACAGCGCTGCCGGGCCTCTCCAGGTGGGACAGAGAGCGATGCAGGATGGAGATGATGGCGTCCTCCACACCAATACCAGGTCGGTAAGCAAACTGCATGGGGTCCATAGCAGAGCTTACGGTGGTGCGGAGGTGACTGAGGACGAGCCGCTCCAGGGTCTTCATCAGATGAGACGTGAGGGCCACTGGTCTGAAGCTGTTGAGGTCCCTGGCGTGCGGTATTTTTGGCACAGGAACCAAACATGAGGTCTTCCACAGCGCAGGGACGACACTTTGCTCCAGACTCAGGTTGAAGACTCGATGTATGACTCCACACAGCTCATCTGCACAGGACTTGAGGAGGCGCGGGCTGACGTTGTCTGGTCCTGCTGCCTTCATCTGTCTAAGGCGCCTGAGTTGCTCTCTAACCTGGTCTGTTGTGAGAGAGATGGTGGAGGATGATTCCCTGGATGAAGTGTGGGGAGGAGGTAGGTGAGAGGTGGGGGTGGTGGGCTCAGGCACAGGCTGCTGAGCAGGGGGAGTGGTGGGGGGATGTGGTGGTGTCGCCTCAAATCTCAGGAAGTGTGAGTTGAGGTCGTTGGCTCTGTGTATATTGCCCTCTGTCTGTGTCCTGGGGGGGTTGAAGCCAGACACAGTCTTCATTGCATTCCAAACCCCACGGATGTTTTGCCTTTGGAGCTGTTGTTCTATCCGCTTCTTGTAGGCAGCTTGGGCCCTCCTGATATTTCTCCTCAGCTTCCTCTGTGCCTCCTTCAGAGCCTGTTTGCTCCCTGACCTAAAGGCTCTCTTCTTCTCCTTCAGCAGAGCCTTTATGTCCCGGTTGATCCACGGCTTGTTGTTAGGAAAACACCGTACCGTTTGAGTGGGTACAATGTTTTCGTAGCAGAAGTTGATGTAGTCCGTGATACACTCTGTCATGGAGTTGATGTCCTGTCCGTGGGGGTCACAGAGTTCACTCCACACAGTAGTGCCAAGCTCCATCTGATATCAGAGATCTGATTGTTCCTTATGTTCCTAACAGAGCACTTTGCTCTCAATCTGCAGGTTTACTAGTGGTTCCTAGAATTTCTAAAAGTAGAATGGGAGGCAGATCTTTTAGTTATCAGGCTCCTCTCCTGTGGAACCAACTACCAGTTTTAGTCCGTGAGGCAGACACCCTGTCTACTTTTAAGGCTAGGCTTAAAACTTTCCTTTTTGATAAAGCTTATAGTTAGAGTGGCTCAGGTTATCCTGAGCTATCTCTATAGTTATGCTGCTATAGACTTAGACTGCTGGAGGACATAGGGACCCCTTTTTCATCATTCTATCTCTATTCTCCCACTCTGCAGAATCTGTTAGTTCAATCTCTAACGTTCTGCTCTCTCTGCTTTTTCTCATAGTAGCTTCATCTGGTCTGTTCCTGTTTGGCTATGACTCCATCCTGGAGAGAAATATCAGCTGTGCTGCTGCCATCAACACCTTTGTTTATAGATGTTAGAGCTTGGCCTGTTTTCCAGTGCGGTCCTGTTTCTCTGACTGTAACTAACTGGATGTGCTCTCTTCATCCTCTGACATGACAGCTCCCATGACATCCTCTGACATGGGAGGATGGCCATATTGGTCATATTGGCCATACTGCGACTCATATCCAGGAAAAGATCGGATATGAGTCGCAGTATGGCCAATATGACCAGAATTGGCTTTGTTCAAAATCTGAATAGCCCCACTCATTATAATCTTCATTCTCTGGACCTTTAGCTGGCATATGGCATTATATGTGAAGACATGACAATGTTTCCCCATATCCCTGTCCTTTTAGTAACCTTCAAACTTATTTTAACAGTATTCTCCTCCCCCAAAAGAATGTTTCATTTTAGTAGATCCTTATCAGTGTTGGGATTCTTTTATTGATAATGTGAGTCTGTTAAACCCTAATAATACCTGCCTGTCATGGGTCAAAACTAATGTTTTCCCAAGCAGTATATCTAATAAGGACATCTCTTCTTGTCAGGATACACAGTTATCATGTTCCTTATGCACATAACAGAGATGTTTTCAATGAAATGAGAGAATACAGACAGAGTGGAGGACTAGTTATCTCTCAGGGGCGTTCATTGTCCGTGAACCCTGTATGATTTTGATAAGGCTCTAGCCATGGATGTCTCCTCACTTACAAACATGTATGATGTAATGATGTGGCAGACTGGAGATGTAGAAAATGTTTCTTTAACTAGGATTTGGGGTGACAGATGGCATATAAGGTGTTTTGCTTAAAGAAGGAATTACAAATCAAAGCACAGTTAAATGAATACAGAATGTCTTATTTTTAAAGCAGTTGTACAGAAAGAAAGAGATATCTAGAAGTACATATAGAAAATATTGCAAATGATCACACTTAAATGTTTGGGTTAAATACATATTTTTACATGCTTTTAAACTGTCTTAGGATGTTACTCCTTTTTATTTCTATATCTAACACATTCTATAACATAAATCCTGCTTGGCTGAGTTATTCTCTTCTCTACTGTTGCACATTTTTTATTTATTGCCAGGAAGTAGATCATGGCTCGCTTTGTACACTACAAGAGCAAGAGTTTTACATTTTATTAAGTCTTGGATTTTCATGATGTGAGATTTTAATTTCTATTCTATTCAGTTTATTTCTATAGCACCATTTCACATCATGTCATCTCAAGGCACTTTACAGTTCACCAGATCATCCAGTCAGATTGATTCACAGTTTTCTATCTAAGGAAAACCAGCTGATTGCATCGACTCATTGACTCTTCAGCAATCTCTCACACTAAGCATGCTTGTAGCGACAGTGGAGAGGAAAAACTCCCTTTGAACATGAAGAAACCTCCAGCAGAACCAGGCTCAGTGTGAGCGGCCATCTGCTGAGGCCCACTGGGGTTCAAGGAGACAGAAGCAGACATAGAAAAAGAAGCATAGATACAAAAGGCAACTGTCAACCAGCTCCACAGGCGGCCCCGTCCAGGAAACACACAGCCAGGCAGACGAGCTCCGAGCCAGCTCCCATGTCAGAAGATGAAGAGAGCACATTCAGTTAGTCACAGTCAGCGAAACAGGACTACACTGGAAAACAGGCCAAGCTCCAACATCTATAAACAAAGGTGTTGATGGCAGCAGCACAGCTGATATTTCTCTCCAGGATGGAGTCACAGCCAAACAGGAACAGACCAGATGAAGCTACTATGAGAAAAAGCAGAGAGAGCAGAACGTTAGAGATTGAACTAACAGATTCTGCAGAGTGGGAGAATAGAGATAGAATGAAGCAGAATGATGAAAAAGGGGTCCCTATGTCCTCCAGCAGTCTAAGCCTATAGCAGCAGAACTATAGAGATAGCTCAAAATTTTAAGAAAAGTGAATTAGTATGATCTCTGAATCCAACATTATGAAACATTCATAAAGTTTTTTTTCTGTAGTTTGACAAGTTAATCTAGATTACTTGTGTATTAACCCAAAGCCTAGACATCTCCCCGAGAAGAGTTTCTTAGCGTTGTCTGCAAACAATGTAAACTTAAATTTTACTGAGATATGATAAAGATTGTACAAGTCATGTACCGTCTTCTGGATGAGAATTCCCCCAGACTGTACATGTTGTTCCCTATAAGACAAAGAGGATTTGACCCAATTCAGCATGCTTAGTGAGGGATTGCTGAAGAGTCAATGGAATCATTGTGTTTCTCTTTAGATAGAAAACGTAACTAGATGTGCTCTCTTCAACCTGACATGGGGCTGGCTTAGAGCTTGTCTGATTAACCGTTTCTTTCCCTCTGTGCAGCTAGTTTACCGTTAGCTTTACTAACAGTTTTACTGATCACTGCTTCTAGTCATTTCGTACCTCCCCTAAACCCTCAATAAGCCTCGGCACATGCTTATCCAGGAAGAGAGAATCTTTAAACCAGAACTCTTTGAACGTTTAATCTGAGTGGATCGTCGGATTGAAGTATTGTAAATTGAAGCTATAGAAATAGTTTAAGAGAATTGGTCCTTGCACTGATCCCTGTGGTATTCCACAGGTAACCTTTGAGCATGAGGAAGATCTATCATTAACTTGAACAAACTGAATTCGATCAGATAGATAAGATTTAAACCAGTCTAGAGCTGTCCCTTTAATTCCAATAAAATATTCAAGTCTTTCTAAAAGAATATTATGATCGACTGGATCTATCTAAATCTAAAAATGTCTGATTGCATAGAAGGAAATATGCTGTGATTTTCAGAATTGATCAACCCCCTCCAGGCGAGCAGATGTCTGCTCAAAGCTTCAACGCAGACGATAAACTGGAAACCTGATTTAACCTGCGATGAATAAAAACACCAAACACTGGGATGTGTGCATTACTTAGAAATAAAACCAAAGTTCATTTATTTCACATTGGACATAAATGAAAAAGCAACATAGAAGATCTCAGCGACACTTTTTCCATTTCCATGTCATCACAAAACAATATTCTTTTATTTGAACCAGTAAAACAGCAGTAAATACTCAAAGTCATCCTGTAGGGAGAAATCAAAGCACAAACAGTGCCACTACCTCTGGTATGAACTGAAAACTAAAGCCTTGGTCCAGCTTCTTAGGAGCCACATTTCAAACCGAAACTGAGCCAAGCATCTCAACATTTGGGGAATTTAAAAGAAGTTGAGGCCTTCAGAACGCGGCTGATCAGACAGAAAGCAGGCAGCGGTGACCTCCACTCACAGCTCTACTGGTTTCCTCTGCAGCCCAAACTGCCCCAAGGACTTTAAAAGAAGGAAAGGGTGAGAGATTATTGGGCGATGACAAACAGAGCAGTCAGGCTGGAACAGCAGTTCCTGCTGGATGGAGACGCTCTGGATGCTGCTCCTCCATGTGGCCTGCTAAAAGACTGCAGCTAGCCTTCAGGCACGCCTCCTCGTCCTCGTTTCTCTTCTCCCCGTCCTCAGGCCTTGATCTCGGGGGTGGTGCTGTACAGCTGCTCCGAGTTCTCTGTTCCCAGGTCCTCTGAAGACACAAGACAACAAGGCAGGCAGTTAGAGGGGAGGCTCTGCTGACAGACCTTCCAGGTCCAAGGATCGGACTCTGGATGTATGAGAAAAGCCTTCCTGCAGCCATTGAAGGCCCAAATGGGCCAGAACAGAACAGCTGCAGATGAAACCCTGGCTGCTGCTGCTGGTCTGGTCTGGTTGGTCGGTCCCAGTTCCATCACCCAGCAGCATCAGCCTGACCTCACACTGATTAGCATCACATGATGGAAACCAACAGAATCATCAGCCCTGCTCTAATTAAAATAACGCTCCGAGGCTGTGCAGAGGTAGTAAAGGCTAAGCTAACGCTCCGAGGCTGTGCAGAGGTAGTAAAGGCTAAGCTAACGCTCCGAGGCTGTGCAGAGGTAGTAAAGGCTAAGCTAACGCTCCGAGGCTGTGCAGAGGTAGTAAAGGCTAAGCTAACGCTCCGAGGCTGTGCAGAGGTAGTAAAGGCTAAGCTAATGCTCCGAGGCTGTGCAGAGGTAGTAAAGGCTAAGCTAACGCTCCGAGGCTGTGCAGAGGTAGTAAAGGCTAAGCTAACGCTCCGAGGCTGTGCAGAGGTAGTAAAGGCTAAGCTAACGCTCCGAGGCTGTGCAGAGGTAGTAAAGGCTAAGCTAATGCTCCGAGGCTGTGCAGAGGTAGTAAAGGCTAAGCTAACGCTCCGAGGCTGTGCAGAGGTAGTAAAGGCTAAGCTAACGCTCCGAGGCTGTGCAGAGGTAGTAAAGGCTAAGCTAACGCTCCGAGGCTGTGCAGAGGTAGTAAAGGCTAAGCTAACGCTCCGAGGCTGTGCAGAGGTAGTAAAGGCTAAGCTAATGCTCCGAGGCTGTGCAGAGGTAGTAAAGGCTAAGCTAACGCTCCGAGGCTGTGCAGAGGTAGTAAAGGCTAAGCTAACGCTCCGAGGCTGTGCAGAGGTAGTAAAGGCTAAGCTAACGCTCCGAGGCTGTGCAGAGGTAGTAAAGGCTAAGCTAACGCTCCGAGGCTGTGCAGAGGTAGCAAAGGCTAAGCTAACGCTCCGAGGCTGTGCAGAGGTGAGACAGGCTAAGCTAACGCTCCGAGGCTGTGCAGAGGTAGTAAAGGCTAAGCTAACGCTCCGAGGCTGTGCAGAGGTGAGACAGGCTAAGCTAACGCTCCGAGGCTGTGCAGAGGTGAGACAGGCTAAGCTAGCGCTCCGAGGCTGTGCAGAGGCAGTAAAGGCTAAGCTAACGCTCCGAGGCTGTGCAGAGGTAGTAAAGGATAAGCTAACGCTCCGAGGCTGTGCAGAGGTAGTAAAGGCTAAGCTAACGCTCCGAGGCTGTGCAGAGGTAGTAAAGGCTAAGCTAGCGCTCCGAGGCCGTGCAGAGGCGATACAGGCTAATCTAGCGCTCCGAGGCCGTGCAGAGGCAGTAAAGGCTAAGCTAACACTCCAAGGCTGTGCAGAGGTGATACAGGCTAAGCTAACGCTCCAAAGCTGTGCAGAGGTGATACAGGCTAAGCTAGCGCTCCGAGGCCGTGCAGAGGTAGTAAAGGCTAAGCTAACGCTCCGAAGCTGTGCAGAGGTGAGACAGGCTAAGCTAACGCTCCGAGGCTGTGCAGAGGTAGTAAAGGCTAAGCTAACGCTCCGAGGCTGTGCAGAGGTGAGACAGGCTAAGCTAACGCTCCGAGGCTGTGCAGAGGTGAGACAGGCTAAGCTAGCGCTCCGAGGCTGTGCAGAGGCAGTAAAGGCTAAGCTAACGCTCCGAGGCTGTGCAGAGGTAGTAAAGGATAAGCTAACGCTCCGAGGCTGTGCAGAGGTAGTAAAGGCTAAGCTAACGCTCCGAGGCTGTGCAGAGGTAGTAAAGGCTAAGCTAGCGCTCCGAGGCCGTGCAGAGGCGATACAGGCTAATCTAGCGCTCCGAGGCCGTGCAGAGGCAGTAAAGGCTAAGCTAACACTCCAAGGCTGTGCAGAGGTGATACAGGCTAAGCTAACGCTCCAAAGCTGTGCAGAGGTGATACAGGCTAAGCTAGCGCTCCGAGGCCGTGCAGAGGTAGTAAAGGCTAAGCTAACGCTCCGAAGCTGTGCAGAGGTAGTAAAGGCTAAGCTAACGCTCCGAGGCCGTGCAGAGGTAGTAAAGGCTAAGCTAACGCTCCGAGGCCGTGCAGAGGTAGTAAAGGCTAAGCTAACGCTCCGAGGCTGTGCAGAGGTAGTAAAGGCTAAGCTAACGCTCCAAGGCTGTGCAGAGGTGGTAAAGGCTAAGCTAACGCTCCGAGGCTGTGCAGAGGTAGTAAAGGCTAAGCTAACGCTCCGAGGCTGTGCAGAGGTAGTAAAGGCTAAGCTAACGCTCCGAGGCTGTGCAGAGGTAGTAAAAGCTAAGCTAACGCTCCGAGGCTGTGCAGAGGTGGTAAAGGCTAAGCTAACGCTCCGAGGCTGTGCAGAGGTGGTAAAGGCTAAGCTAACGCTCCGAGGCTGCGCAGAGGTAGTAAAGGCTAAGCTAACGCTCCGAGGCTGTGCAGAGGTAGTAAAGGCTAAGCTAACGCTCCGAGGCTGTGCAGAGGTAGTAAAGGCTAAGCTAACGCTCTGCTCCCTGTGGGAAATGCTGTCTTCCTTCAGGCGAAACAATACAGTGTTTGTCCACTGGGGGGAGCCAAATTCAAACTGCAATAAGTAATTTAGCAAATGATGAAAACATTTAAATAAATCTCTTTTTTTTAAATATTCCCGTGTTATTTGGACTTCATAGTTTCTCTCCATTTATTTCATCCATATTTATTTGAGTTTTTTTAAATATAAACGATAAACTTTGAAGAGATTTATTTGTATTTCTCTCAGTTTCAATCTTCAGTGCTCTAATTTAGGACATAAAGTTCAGTTTATCAAACAGTAAACACTGTTTTGGCCGGGAAGCAGAGATATTCCTGCCTTGAAAGGAAAATGGCTGCAGGATGAAAAATGGCAGAGAGGAAGGAATGAGTATGGAGTTGGATTATCAGCACTGTGGATCCCTGATCTCCTTCTCTGCTCTCCATCCAGTTCGTTCGCCCAGCTGAGCGAACACAAACCTTCAGACCAGAACCTGCTCTTCTAACAGGAAGCACGTCTGAAACCACCGTCCCCAGAAACACTAACGGTGGTTTCCTTAAATGTATGAAAGAACCGGGAATGGAGGCAGCAGGACTGCCGGTCAGGAAGGGACCTACCAGGAAGGACGCACTTCCACAGGCCGTAGGTCTTCCCCACCGCCGTCTGCCACAGGCGTAGCGTCCCGTCCTCTGAGCCGCTGGCGTACAGCTCCCCGTCAGGGCTGAAACGCACACAGTGGACCGGACCGAAATGGCCTTTATAGGACTCTGGAGACAGAAGGAGATGAAGAACATTTAGGATCAGTCAGCTTTTAGCTTCAAGGACCCAGTAAGGATCTGATCGGTTGACATCTTTAAAGCTTTGGGGCACCCGACAGCAGAGGGCGGTCGGGTTAGGGCAGCAGGTTTAAGCCTAGAAAAGCTGAACAAAAGCGGTCAAAGCGATCGAAAGTTTGGCTTCATTTTAAGGAAGAAAAAAAGGCAACATGGGGCTTTGCAATCATTGAAAAGTGTCAAATACATCCGCAGGAGGAAATGCATCCAACATGCAGAAACACCTGCGCACACAACATGGAAGACATTTTAACGAATGCCGTGTTTTTGATGCTTCCAGACAGAAACTAAAGTTAAAACCAGCATGGAAGGAAACTCTGGTGGTTAGTAGCTAGTTTAAATAAACCAGTTTCCTAGCTCTCTTTGGGGTTATTAAACATGCTTCCAAGTTGCTCCGCAGTTTTGGGAGCGAGAGAAAGGTGATGATTGTTTATTTAAATCAGGGGGAGATGAGTTTATTTCCTGAAATTGTACAGTAATGCTTTTTCATTAAAGCTACAGTGTGTTATTTTTAGCGACATCTAGCGGTCAGACTGCAGCAACATGAACATCTCCCTCCCACCGCTTCTCCCCCCCAACAGTACGGCGAGCGTTACGGGACAAAATGTCTTCCACGACGTCCGCATCACCTACCTTCTCAAGTGATGAGGTTTGTTTACATAGATCATTTTAATACTTCCATCTATTGTTCAGTACCGTCTCAGTTCATCTCTCTCAACTTGCCGTAGTTACTTTCGAGCGTAATGGGCGATCTCGCAATCGCTAGTTTGTTGGCTCTGCGCTGCCGTAGCGCAAAGATGTCTGCCTCCATGGCTGCGAGACCCGCTCCTATGTAATTATAAATAACGAATTCTAAGGCAACGCAAATATTAAGGTTAAGAGGCTGAGCTCGTAGATGATGATAAATAACATAGTTATATATAATATATTACATTTCTGACTGTATATCCCTGTAATTATTACACACTGTAGCTCCCGTTCACTGCCTTCTGGTTTCACCGAGGCAGGCAGAGATAGAATGTCCCAGGAGAAGGTAAACCGATGTCACTGAACTCACCAGGTTCTTTGTTTCACAGAATCTATAAGATTTTCACGATACCGATTCTCTTATCAATTCCCAACCCTAGTCACGACCCGAGCCGTACCATCAAATCATTTACGCTAACAAATACGGGTCTCCCTCGATTTAAATTTTTTTAATTTAAAACTATAATGTGTTAAATGTTAATGTATTTCCTGAGAAAATAAATGCATTAAAATCCTGTTTTATTCTCTGTTCCTGATCTGTACAGGAAATGGGATCCTATTCTACTTCAAGGAGCTAACGTTATCAGCTAACTTTATCAGCTAACTTTATCAGCTAACTTTATCAGCTAACTTTATCTGCTTTGGATTTAGACATAAATCTAGTCTTTTTGAGTTTTAGGTTTTCCTTTCATATTAATATTATGGTATGGTGCGTAATCTAAAGAAAGAAACAACTAGAATGCAGATAAACATGGTTTAATCATATTTAGCCGGACCGCTGTGAGCACGTCTCATGATGACGCCAGAGAAGCTATTTAACAAAGAAAATATTAAAACCATCAAAATTGTCTCAAAAAATCTTTACATTTTAGTTTAAATATGTACTTTAGCATTCTTTAGTGATTTATGGCTAGATATAAGTACATTTAGTTCCATAATTACATTATTTATGGTGGCCTGGCGGAATATCTGCTTGCATATGCGCAAATTAGCTGATGCTACGGATCGCAGCCGCCTGCGCTACGGGGGTCGCTGCAGCCGCCTGCGCTACGGGGGTCGCTGCAGCCGCCTGCGCTACGGGGGTCGCTGCAGCCGCCTGCGCTACGGGGGTCGCTGCAGCCGCCTCAGATACGGGGGTCGCTGCAGCCGCCTCAGATACGGGGGTCGCTGCAGCCGCCTCAGATACGGGGGTCGCTGCAGCCGCCTCAGATACGGGGGTCGCTGCAGCCGCCTCAGATACGGGGGTCGCTGCAGCCGCCTGCGCTACGGGGGTCGCTGCAGCCGCCTGCGCTACGGGGGTCGCTGCAGCCGCCTCAGATACGGGGGTCGCTGCAGCCGCCTCAGATACGCCTCAGATACGGGGGTCGCTGCAGCCGCCTCAGATACGGGGGTCGCTGCAGCCGCCTGCGCTACGGGGGTCGCTGCAGCCGCCTGCGCTACGGGGGTCGCTGCAGCCGCCTCAGATACGGGGGTCGCTGCAGCCGCCTCAGATACGGGGGTCGCTGCAGCCGCCTCAGATACGGGGGTCGCTGCAGCCGCCTCAGATACGGGGGTCGCTGAAGCCGCCTCAGATACGGGGGTCGCTGCAGCCGCCTCAGATACGGGGGTCGCTGCAGGCGCCTCAGATACGGGGGTCGGTGCAGCCGCCTCAGATACGGGGGTCGCTGCAGCCGCCTCAGATACGGGGGTCGCTGCAGCCGCCTCAGATACGGATCATGTAGTGACAGAGGGTAAAGGAACCAGGGGTCAGCCACAACGTGTCACACGTAGCGTAATTCCAACTGGCAAACCGCCGCCCACTCTGGCTGGACCAATCATAGAGCAGGAGGAGGGACTTTACAATGCGTCACTCATCGGCAGAATTACCCATAATGCAGCAACACTTTCTGCCAGAATGCGACGGAGCGATGTAGAAATGGAGTACAGAGAGCAGATCTTATATCCTCTGGTTTTAGGCAAAAGCTGCAGAAATTTGCTCAACAGTTTGAGATGATTGACAGAATATAAACGTGGCGCTTTGAGTGGCATCTGATTGGTTGTGAGCGGATGACCCCGTCAGTCCCAGCGAACCCCTCAGCCTCACCCAGCTCCTCCTTGGTGCCGTAGTCAAACTTGTAGAGCTTGAAGTCTTCGCCGCCGGCGACAAAGAAGTCCTTGTCAGGATGCAGGGAGGCCGAGTTGATGGGAGCCGGCGCCTCCACGGTTTTAATCAGGTCCAGACTGAACAGGAGGAGGAGGGAGGTTAGTTTCCATGGTGACCAGAACGCCGTAGCCATCGGCGATCCGCCTGACCTTACCTCAGAGCGTTGTAGAACGCCACGGTCTTTCCATAGGTTATCACCAGGATCTCCCCATCAGCGACGTACTCCATGCTGCTAACGGACGTTTCAAACATCAGAGTCTTCACCTCCTCCATGGATCTGCTGTCCCACAGCCTGGACACACACACACACGCGTCATGTTTCCTCATCCTCGCAGGGACCTTCCATTCATTTCTAACCAGTTCCTACAGCCTAACCCTGACAGCACAGCTTCCCTAATCCTAACCTAGACTCAGTTCAGCCCTTAATCCTAAACCTTTAATAATGAGCTGCTTATTTTGGTCCTAGATATTCATCAGCACTACGGAGGAATATTAGTCTGAGTTTGCTTATTATAGGAAGAAGTTTATTTCTATTTGGGGAGGGTGGAGATGTTTTATGTCATGTCAATAATGAAAAGCTTATTCATTTTTTGAGGAGGTGGATTTATGTCTGCTTTTCTCTTTAGGGTTATTGTATATGAGAGTAATTTACTTGTGTTTATTATAAATGAAACATTGGACCAGTAAAGAGAGTCTATGCTAGTCCTAAACCCAACACTAAAGCTAAAACAGCATTTGTACCCATGGGGAGCAGACATTGGTCCTCACCATGTAATAAAAACACACACACACAAGTTTGGACCTACATTAATTATAGTTCCTGCATTTAAGCCTCACTTTAACCTTCACAACATAACTCTAGACTGATGTGCTACATTAGGACCAGTTAGAGTGGCTCAGGTTACCCTGAGCTAGCTCTATAGTTATGCTACAATGGGCTGTTTGACAGTTGTCTTGTATCTATGCTTCTTTTTCTATGTCTGCTTCTGTCTCCTTGAACCCCAGTCGGCCTCAGCAGATGGCCGCTCACACTGAGCCTGGTTCTGCTGGAGGTTTCTTTCTGTTCAAAGGGAGTTTTTCCTCTCCACTGTCGCTACAAGCATGCTTAGTGTGAGGGATTGCTGAAGAGTCAATGAGTCGATGCAATCAGCTGGTTTTCCTTAGATAGAAAACTTTAAATAAATCTGACTGATCTGGATCTATAAAGTGACCTGAGATGACATGGTGTGAATTGGAGCTATAGAAATAAACTGAATAGAACCAACAGTTGTAAATTGACTCCCTGAGGTTAAAAATGAGGATCTTCCACATCAGAAGCAGCATTCGGTCTCCATAAGGTTGGTAATGAGGTAACAGACCGTCCTCCATCCTCGGAGGCGTTTGTGGCTGATCTGGGAGGAGCAGAAACCAACCTGACTGTCTTATCGTCAGCGGCGGACAGGATCTGGCTGTCGTTGTTGCACCACAGAGACTTCTTGATGGCTGAGCTGTGGCCTGAGATCTCCTGAGGAGCTGCGTCACAAACACACACACAGCTGAGTCAGTCAGCAGCAGGGCTAGCAGCGTTCCCCGCCACGCTGCATCCGTCTCCACCTGTACAGCCGCCTAGAACAAGCCCCGCCCCCCTGCTCTGTAGCTCACCAGCGTCCGGTTTGCTGAGGTCATAGATGCGCAGCAGCTTGTCGTTTCCTCCGGTCAGCAGGAGGTTGCTGTCCTGGAGAACAGAAGGAGCGGTTAGTGGATCAGAACAGAACCGGCGCCGTCGGTCCACAGAACCAAACTGACCTGCGTAAAGCTGACAGACTTCACGATGTGTTTGTGAGCCAGTGACAGGACCTCGTCTCCGCTGACAGAATCCCACACCTTCCTGTAGAGCAGAGGAGCGTTTAGCCTGCAGCCGGGTCCGTACCTGGACTGGTACGGTCCCCCCCCCACTCACGCTGTGAAATCAGCTGCTGCCGTGGCGGCCTTGGTGGCGTCTGCGTTCAGAGTGGCTCCCCAGACGGCGCCTTTGTGACCCAGAAACGTTCCGATCCAGTCCCCTGTGTCTCCCTGGCGCAACATGGGCTTACCATCTGAGGGGGGTGGCAAGAGAGGAGGACGGCGTAAACATGGCGTCAGAATCAGAATCACATCTAGATGGTGAGCTCTATGTCTGAGCTGCAGACGGCTGCAGTTAGACGAGCTAAAGACGCTTAGCATCAACATTTCAACCATTAAACAGCCTAACTGAGAGCATCCGTCAGGTCTGAGCGTTTCCTCAAGGATTCTTCTTCTTCTTCTCTGATGTAAACACAGCAGCATGGCGGGGGTGCAATGAGTGAAATGGTGTTCTTTCTGTAAAATTGACAGACTCAGCACTAAATCACACAAATATCCAAAGCAGCGCGTTTCACTCTAGTGAGCTTCAGATTCCACTTCTGGTTTGGCATCTGGATAGACGAGTCCGAGTAGCGCCATCTCACTGCGGAGCCGAGTCCACCTGGTTTTTAGACGTCCAGTGTGAGCAGGTAGATCGCATCAGAGCGTCGCAGCGCGAGAGCAAACATCATCATTAGCTGTGAACTTTTAAACCCTGAGGTTTGGTCGTACAGTGCGAGCTGTAGCTGCGTGCAACGATTGCAAATATCGTACAGTTTACACCCAGCTTTAGAGCAGAGCGCTGGAGCTCTGGGAAGGTTCAAGTTCCCGGTTTGATTCCCACAGACTGCCACTCTGGGTCCCTGAGCAAGACCCTTAACCCCACACTGCTCCCTGGGCTCCGCACGATGGCAGCCCTCTGCTCCCCAAAGGGGAGGGGCTAAATGCAGAGAGGTCTGAGTTCAATAAAGATCAATTTGTGGCGAGCAGCTGACGTCCAGGCTCTCCAGACCACCATGCTTCTGGGCTTCCGTAGGAGAGCATGCCTGGCGTCACCACAGCAGATGGAGCCGACCGTCACGCAGCCCAGCTTCTGTGCCAGCGTGCCCCAGGCCAGCTGTGGCTGTAGAGTGAAGACCAACTGTTATCCTCTGAATCCACCGTCAACATTCAGAGCAAAGCTGCTTTTGGCTCCAATCCATTCAGTTACAACCGGATCAAACAGGAAGAGGAACGTCAGGAAGAACCGCAGTAAAGCAGGGTGACGGCTGATTGGTTCCTTCAGATCAAAGCATCATTTTCACACTTTCCCCAGAAGAAGAGAGTTTTATTAAAGCTTCGTTCATCAGATTATTTATTATATGGAGCTAAAAAAGGATGAAAGCTTAAAGATTTCAGCAAATCCAGTTAAAACCACTTCTAGAGCAACTCCCTATCCCAGACCTGGACTCGTTATCCCAGACCTGGACTGGTTATCCCAGACCTGGACTGGTTACTAACTAATCAGGGATGAAAGGTTTGGGCAGAAGCTGCTGGATGCCGTGTGAGGAGATGTGGATTATAGATCAGACCGACTGAGGATTTATTTCATCTTAACTGTAAAATGTTTATGTCTATTTTAACAATGGTGGTATAATTACTGCTGTAGGTGGATGACTGTCAGCTAAAGGCAGGTTTTAGACTCAGGTTAATGATTAGAGGATTACATTAGTTGGTTATTATAACAGATTAATCAGATCTGCTCTATAATCTAAGTAGAGATGCAGAAACCTTCCAGCAGACCTGACCTCCCTCCAATCGGACTGAAGGCAGAACCTGAACCAGTCCAGCCTGGATCCCTGACCTCTGGCTCTCATTGGCTCCACATCTGACTGATTTTAACCGATATTAGTTCCTCCACCGCAGAGAGGCTCCTTCTGCCCGCAGAGAGGCCGGATCACTGAAGCCCTGCCAGGACTAACCAGGGCAGCTGCTCTGCTCATGCTGCCGGGGAGCCTCACCTTTGCAGGCGCTGATGAGGAAGTATCCATAGGGGGTAATTCCGCTGAAGGCCAGGTCCACCACAGGCCGGGTGTGACCGGAGCAGGTGAGTGGGGTCTGTCTCATCGCCATGCTCCTCCAGCCGCTCAGGGAAGTGACGGCTACTGAGGAGTTAGCTAAGGAGTTAGCTAGGGAGTTAGCTAGGGGCTAACGGGCGGAGAGGGAGGAATAAGAAGCCGGAGGACGGTGAGGGGTGAGCGGGTGGAGCTCTGTTGGCAGCGGGGGTGAGGGTGGAGCACCGGAAAGCAGAGCGATGACCGCGCTAACAGCTACAGCATTGCAGCTAGCTAGCAACGTGCCGCGCGGCGACCTGCAGTTCCGATGATAAAGGCCGCTGTTTCTCCTCAGACATTGCTAAGGTAACACTTCCTTCCGGGACCTTTCAAATTAAAGCCGCCGTTAAAAAACGGTTCAGCCCAATTATTTTCCTTTATATATATATATATATATATATATATATATATATATTGGAATGTAGCGTTTGTTAAATGCTTTATTTAAAAGTTGCGTTAAAGTGTGTTTTTCTTTTCTTGTTCTCCATCTCCATCCACAGGCATCCAGCTGGTGCATCTGTGGAAACATTCCTGGAACAGAAATGCTGCCAACATCCCTGCTGCCACACATGGAGCTGCACATCCTGCAGGAAGGCGTGCTCAGACTGTCCAGGAGGGTCTGGGATGACCTTAGAGCTGCGGTGGACTTCCAGGAGAGCGGAGAAAGAAAACAGAAATGTTTGGTTTTCTGGGAGAAGGAAATAAATAGTTATAACTTCATGCTGTTTAGAAAATTATAGATCTTTTCCCAGATCCTAATGGTTGTTACCAAGGCTTTATTCTAATCAGAGTGTAAACCTATTGTTTAAGTTAAATTATCTTTATTGCACTTTATTCAAAGATGCCTCAGGAGATAGACTTGCACTCTAGAATAAGCTGATCTATGAGTATATTTGACACTACATTTTTGTATTATGTACGTTTTTATTAATAAAAGTCTCTTCATTAAAGGGTTTTCATTGTCAGTTTCCCATATGTCTAAAAATATTTGTATGAGGCTTTAGAAATTTTACAGAGAACATTAGTTCATGTAGGCTGTTATGTGAACTGATAAGAAATTACGTTTACAGATATAAAAAATTAACTTGTTAAAAAAACAACATTCAGAATTAATGTTTTGCTAATGTTTTATTTGCTCTAATATTTAAATTATTACTTTTCTTTTATACATGGAATAAATTTGCCAGAAAACATCACATTATATACAGAGCAAATGAATAAAGCAATGTCCCTCTTTATAAGTTCTAAAATCTAGTTCTGTTCTATTTAATTCAGTTCTATTCAATTCATTTCTATAGCTCCAATTCACATCATGTCATCTCAGGTCACTTTACATCAGATCATCCAGTCAGATTGATTCAAAGTTTTCTATCTAAGGAAAACCAGCTGATTGCATCGACTCATTGACTCTTCAGCAATCCCTCACACTAAGCATGCTAGTAGCGACAGTGGAGAGCAAAAAGATTCTCCTCAAGCACCACATCATGTGTGATATGGCTGACCTATGATGAAAAAAACCCAACACAGGTTCTAAAAATCCCATCGAACAGCTGTGCTCTCTGTTTAGCTTTTAATCCAACAAACTAAGGCACTTGCCTTGAATAGCTAGCCCTCGGCTGGCTTCTTTTACTTCAGATCTTTATTGTTGGGGCGGGGCCACCAGATATCAGCCCCAGCCTTTATGGATCATCAGGTGCAGGAGGCTGCTTCCCTGTCGTCCCTCACAGAGACGTCACTCTTGATTGTAGAATAACGGTCTGTAGATCTGGGATGTTCTTGTAGGTTTTTGCTTTCTTGATGCCATTCAGCCGCCACATCTTGGATTGTTGTTAAAAATTCTGCCATTCCTTGAAGGAGTAAACAAAAACACGTCAACATTGCCATTGTGTACATAGAATAAATGATGGATTAAAGGTAGAATTTAGAATAAACGTACAGATGTGAGCCATCTGCATTGGTTTAGGTGGAGATAATAATCCGGTCCTGCTAACAGGGTCTGAGCATATGTTAATAGAATAGACATCCATTATCTGTTCTAGGTTGTGTCCCTCTCTTCTTGTCCCTTTTCTTCTTGTTTTCCTCTCTATGTTTTGTACTCAGCTGTCTTTTCATGCTGTCTCTAAAGGAATGAAAGATTGTTTCCAAGCACTAAGCTCACTTAGCTGATTGCTCCTTCCTGTGTTTCCAAAAAGGCCAAAGTAAATAACCCAGTCCTTCTTTTCACTGTAGACAAGCCATGATCTGCTTCTCTGTTCTCCATTTTTCATTTGGATGAAATAATAGCTGCATGAATCATGACAGCAGACAAGATAGAGGAGAGCAGGAGGCGGGGTTACCAATCTACTTGCTCTGGAGAGCAGAGTTCGCTGCTTTTAGATGTTGTCTCCAAAGTCTCCAGTAGCAGAAAAAAGTCTCTAGATTTGGCGCTAGGAGCTTTTTAGAAATCAAAGTTCTAGAGGGGTCTGAAAAGTGGCTAAATATAGCGACTAAAGCGCTAAGTTAGCAACACTGCTCTTTGCATGGTTTGTTTTCAAATGGTTTGCTGCTGTCTGTTTGGACCTTTCTGAACATGTGCAGCAAATGGACTGATCCAATATGGTGGACACTGAAGGGGGGGCTGAGACACACTTAATATTATCAGCATTCTGATGGCATTTTAGCCAAAGGGTTTTTATCAAAAACATAATTAATGTGCAGAAATAAGGAATAGTTTTATTTCCCATACATGGAAACAGAGTTTTATGAGGCCCCCAGGAACTTGGGGCCCTAGGCACCTGCCTGGTATTGTCTAATGGTAAATCCCTGCCTGACTCCAGGTCTGAGGTTGATCTAAAATACAAAAAATACGTAATATATATATTTTGTGGCTAATCCCTGCTGGTACAGCCACAAACATAAGATATAGTTTATATAGTATTTAGCTTGATACGATATATGACAATAACCTACTGATCAGCAGTGGTGTCTAAAGTTCACACATTTGTTATTTCAGTAGAAGTATAGATCCTGCAGTTTAAAAACACTCTGGTAAAAGTTGAAGTATCAACTTGACCTCTTTACTCAAGTAAAAGTGAAAAGTATGTGCTCCAAAACTACTTCAAGTATAAAAGTATAAAGTAACCTTTAAAAAAAAAACAACCAGATGCCGCTATATGAATTGAAAACTACATTTCTAAACATTCTTTGAGATAGGGCCAAGGATGAGGGAGGTCTTGTTGGTCTCCATCTCCCGATACGCTCTCTCCTGTGTCCGACCTTTCAGACATTTCAACATCTTTTTCTGAATCCATCATTGTAGCATGGCATAGACAATTCATGTTTGCAGTTTGAAGAACACCTGCTTGCCTCTGATGATTTCCTTTAGCTAACCAATGAGTGTTTGCCTTCTATGACTCATCCAATCACACTAGTTTTCACTATATGTGGGTGGAGCCAATGATCTGCATTGGATGGAGCACATGACGGGAAATAAATATTTATAAACATTAAACCGAAACCAAGAGTAACGAGGAACATTTGATTTAAAAATGTAAGGAATAGAAAGAAGAGATACATGTGTGAAAATGTAATGAGTAGAAGTCAGAAGTAGGAAGAAAAATAAGTAATGGAGTAAAGTATAGATACCTAAAAAGTGTACTCAAGTACAGTAACAAAGTATTTGTTCTTCGTTACTTGACACCTCTGCAGTGAATCCTGGATTGTGGACACAGCTGGAGGCTGGTTCTGGTCCACTGTGTCTGTGGAGAAGATTCAATGTTAGCATTGCTGTAACCATATATATTTATAATCATGTTAGTTGTTTGTTCTAATGAATACCAGATAAAATATAGTTTATTATTTTAATGCACAGATATGCATCAAAGCAGATAATTTGGAAGGTCATCACCGTTTGGCTAGTTACATCTGGTGACACAGTTATGCTGCAAATGATTAACTAAGTCATAAACAGGTCCCTGCAGGTCACGATGGCGCTCTGTGTTATTTAATTTTCCTGATGGATTGAATAGTCTGCAGTGGAGAAGCAGCTGGTTGCATTTCTACTACGGCGACCACATTAGGATGATCAACAACAAACAACATTTTCAGCATGATGCCTTTGACCATTTTCTCATTTACAGTGTCTGCGTGGTCAGTGACTTGTGCCAGGGATAGCATCGCTAATCATAGCTTAGACTTGTCATGATCTGGCCTGTTTGCTCCCCCTTCATTGGTTATTTCTTTCACCTGCCGTTTTCCTTCCCTGCCTCAATTATCATTTATTACTCTCACCTGTTTCCTTTGGTTTATATTCTGTTTAGCCTGAGCATTCAGGGCCAGATCATTATTTGTCTTTCTGTTAGTCTGTCATTTTTATTTCATGGTTCGTGTCCTGGATCCTGCGGCCAGTGGAAAGAGGGTTTTTTTTAATCGTCCACTCCAAGGTGGATTAGCTCCAAGGTGGAGACCAGTTTAAAGGTCCTGCATCAAGTTCTGGTTCCACGTCCTGTCTCGGCTACCCTCTTCCACTTAGCCTCCCTGTCTGCACCTGATCCTGTCTGCTCCGGACCCTGTCAGACTCTGAACCCGCCTGGGAGCTCTACGAGGCCTGGATCCTGCCTTTTCTGGATCCCTGACCAGGATCGGCTCTCCTGCATGACCTCTGGGACTGCAGCAATGGGGACACCATTGGACTGGACTGTTAAACCAGGTAAGTGACCAACTCAGATAATCTTCTGTCAGATGATCGTGGTCACTTACCTGTGTTTCTCCCACTACAGAGTGTCTGAGATTGGGCGGTGCCCCGCCCCCCACCTGCAGTTGCCGTGTGCCTCAGATCCTAGCAGCTCCCCTTTTGGTTTTGTTTTTCATTAAATAAATGTTTTGAACTTGCCCACTGACTGTCTCCTTGAATACTGGGTCCATCTGTCCTCGTTTCATGACAAGACTAGGATAAACGTTAATCACCAATACCTGCAGATAAGACTACTGGTGCATTAAAACCTCATGACATGCTAGCATCTGTGTGCTGCAGTGAAAATGTGGACATGTTTGCAGGTAAATATGGATCTGTGGCCGCCGTATAACTACTAACCATGCAGATTACAAAATAAATAAACTTATCTTCCCCGGAAAGTTACAATATAGACGTAGATAACTTTTACCAGCAGTGATGTGAAATGGATTCTACAAATAGCAGAACTTTACCTGTGGAGTATGTTAGGTTCATTATCACTGATGATGTGTGAGTTTATTACGCCTTAATATTAGCTGCCTGTTGTCTGTCGGAACTGATGTTTATCTAATTAGGCCAGTTCCTCCGTCCGGCTATATACAGTTATAGAATAAACCTTTGTGATCGTAGATCCAGCAGCTGATGCAGTATCGATGCCTAATTTACTGCGTTCTATTCGACGTATTTTGTGGAGTTGATGAGAGCCGCTATGAGAGCCAAACTAAACAAATACATGTTAGTTAGAAAAAGTAAAGGAGAGATCACCTTTAAAGCAGATTAATTTTATTAGATAAAACAGAAAGAATTGAGTTTATTTCCTCAGTCTGTCTCCTGGTCTTAAATTATACAGTCAGTGATCATTATTGAAAACATCTTTCATATTAGACGGGTTAAAAACCTCTAAGTTGCTGTAAATGGAAAGTAGCCACACCTTCTTAAAATGCGTTTTATGAGTTTTGGATAATTATCCCATCAACACAATAAAATCATTAAAAAGCTCTTTAGTTTGACTAATTCTCTAAAGTTCCCTAATGAGTATTTTTGTAATCGTTCCTCCTTTATGATGTTTTTCACGCAGCTGATGTTTATTTAATTTTATTGATTTATTGTGAAAATAAGGTTGAAAAAGTGAGTACCAATGCATGTTCTACAGAGAACCCTTCTTTTCATTTGGAATCAACTAAATAATTCACATTTCACTGGACATGTGTGAATGCAGAAGGATTTATTGCAGCAGTTATCTTTTTATTTTACCGTAATTTTGCAGAAACAGTCAGACGGAATTCTCCAGATTTTGCAGGATTGTGACCTGTGACCTCTGACCTGTGCACTCAAACTGTAAAGTGCACTTCCTGCATGTGCTCAGTTGATGGAGGGTTAGTATTTGGACTGGGCCTGCAGCTGGAGCGATATCAGCAACCAGTCATGGAAGTTGGAGACGTGCAGAAAACTAAATGAGCCGACAACAGGAGGCAGCAGCAGGAGGGGCCTGGTTTACTGCAGGTGAATTACAATAATAACTGCAAAGTGCAACATCTACATATAAAACATCTACATATGAAACATCTACATATGAAACATCTACATAGGCAGCACTTTCATATGGAACATCTACGTGAACAACATCTTTCGCCCTTTGAATATAAAACAACATTGAATAAAAAGAGCTGAAAATCTAAACCAGAATTCAAAAATAAGAGTCTGAAACATCTATAGTTTAAAAAATACAAAATAAATAAATTAATCAATAATATGGAACTAAATGGATAAATACTTGATATTTATTTAGTTTAATTCACGCTGACATTTATTTATTTCATAGAATATGTATTTGTAATTTCTCAATAGCAGCATTTATTTATGCATATTAGTCTGATTTTATTCGTTATTTTGTTTACACAAGTGTAAAACAAAAATAAATTTCTCTGTCTGGACAATTTCATCTTTTTTAAAAGTGCAGCCTTTAAAAAATAGTAAAAATGACTGTAAATTTACAGTTCAAACAAATTTTTTAAATGTTTTATATATAATGATAAAATATAATAATAAAATACAATACAATAAGCCATTCTATTATATATTGAATTAATTTGAAGGAAACAGCTCCCCATACTAATTTGGATATAAAAGGAAATGAGAAAAGGTTAGAAAAACATGTCAAAGTTTGAATGATATTAAAATAGATAAAATTACTTTAACAGGCAAAGAAGGATAAACTGAAATACTAGTAAAATGTTGTAAATGTAAGTAACCACGAGGGACAGAAAGATAGAGAAGTAAAAACAAAAAAGAACATAAGATAATGATAAACCAAAGAGGATTTGCTACAGCAGAGTTGATCTACATCATCAGATCTGGTCTGCTAGATGGAGATAGAACTTTTAATAACCAGTAAAGGTGGTGGGAGAGCGACCTTGGTACTGGGAGCCATTCTTCCACCATCCAAACCGCTAAACCAATATGGAACATTAACTAAAGGATATACGTCTAAATATCAGAGTTTATAGTTTATTTCAAAAAGGGACTTGATGGTTCATGAAATAAAATCTATCTGAGAGAAAGGAAAATAAACCTGTGAATAATGTGGGTTACATTTTTATTAATTACATTTTGTCACATAAGTATAAATTAAAATGTTTGATTGGATTCAAAATGTGCTCAGATAAAACTATATCAGTTAGAATTGCTCCAAGATTATCCAGAAAATGTGTAATAAAATATATAACATATATTTTGTGTTTATATTTTTATATATCCCAAAACTGAACATATGTACCCATAAAATAAGACGATAAAAAATATAAACTAAACAGTCTGGTTAAAATATTTAAAGGAAAATAAAACAGTTTAGCTTAAGTTTACGGAAATCTGAAAACTTTAATAGAAAAAAAATTAAGGGAGCATTTTAATTCTAATGAATTTATTATTTTCAATAATAATTGAATAAATTCAAAGCAGTATTAAAGGGAAGCGCTGGTTTATGTTCAGTGTTTTGTTTCGGATCCACCAGGGGGCGCTGCTCCGCCCTCCTACTAGAGCCGGGCGGGGTGGCCCCTCCTCTCTTCCATGCCCCGCCCCTCCCAGGCCCCTCCCCCATGCCCCGCCCCGCTCATTGATCCGGGGCTCCGTGCATCCTGACCGTTTCCTCCGCGCCGCCATGCCGCTGTTCCTGGAGGACCCGCGGGTTCTGACCAAGGAGCAGCTGAGGAGCCAGCTGCTGGCCCACAGCGTGGAGCTTCCGGGTGGGAACCCCACTAAGGACGTGTTCGTGCAGCTTTACCTGAACAAGCTGACGGCCCAGAACCAGGAGCGGCTTCCGGCCGCTGCGCCGGACGCCTTTTCCAGCGACGAGGAGGCGCCGCCCGTGGCCCCCAGCAGGAGCCGCTCCTCCGGAAAGGTGAGACCTCTGATGGTGGGGGGCCCCTAGGGGCCCCTGGGATGGAGCAGCAGCTCCTTCCTGTCATTTAGAGCAGGCATCTCTGAGGCCACCCTCTGATTCCAGCTGCTGCAGAAACCTGCTGCTCAGAGTCTCTGCACTGCAGAAAGACAACAGCTCTTAAATTAAGGGCATTTCTCCTTAATCTGAGCAGGTCAATAAAAATAATCTGCCAATGGAATGAGGATTAAAATAAAAATAATTAGATATTATTACCAGAAATAAGACAATGCAACAGGTTTCTTATTTTAAATGTAAATTATCTTTTTCCATTTGCAAAGTGTCTGATTTATCTCCTAAATCAAGAACAAATGCACTCAATTAAAGTAAAAATGACTGATTTAGATATATTTTTGCAATGTTGTTAGAAAAGCAGACCTTTGCTGAAATTAAAGCGTCTTTCAGAAAAACTTTGATGTTGGAAAACTGTCCTCTGGGAAAAGCTGAACTTCCAGGATGCAGAGAACGGCTGAAACTCTACATTCTAGAAGCTGAACGTCCCAGAGGTCTGGGAAAAACCTGGAACCCTGTCAGGTTAACCCTAACCCTAAAACGCAAAGGATTATGGGTAACCGTCTAGCAGCGCTAAGATGTTCATCCAGGCGATGATGGTTCTAAAATGACTTATTTCTATCCTTAACTCACCAAAGAATGCTAATGCACACCTTTAAAAAATATTTAAGGACTTTTCTGAGACAATTTTGATGCATTTTCAATTTATTCCGTTAAACAGCTTCTCTGGCGTCATCATGGGACACGATCAGAGAAGTAAATCTGATTAAACCATGTTTATCTGCAGTCTGTTTCTTTCGTTAGATTACGCACTATATAACATCATGTTAACATGAGAGGAAAACCTAAAACTATATCCCATTTCCTGTATAGATCAGGAACAGAAAGGATTTAAATGCTTTTATTTTCTCAGGAAATATATTATTAACATTTAACACATTATAGTTTAGTACGCTTACTGTCTTTAAGCAGGGAAAAACAGAATTTAGGTTTTAAAAATCGACTGTGACCTGGATGTGTATCTGAGCTGATGGTAAGGATCGTTCTCCCGGAGTGGATAGTGCCCCAGGTACGGATCGTGCTTCCGGCGCGGATCGTGCTCCCGGGGCGGATCGCTCTTCCCGGGGCGGATCGCTCTTCCCGGGGCGGATCGCTCTTCCCGGGGCGGATCGCTCTTCCCGGGGCGGATCACGCTCCCCGGTGCGGATCGTGCTCCAGGTGCGGATCTTGCTCCCCGGTGCGGATCGCTCTTCCCGGTGCGGATCGCTCTTCCCGGTGCGGATAACGCTCCCCGGTGCGGATCGTGCTCCAGGAGCGGGTCGTGCTCCCCGGTGCGGATCCTGCTCCCCGGTGCGGATCGCTCTTCCCGGTGCGGATCGTGCTCTCCGGAGCGGATCGCTCTTCCCGGTGCGGATCGTGCTCCCCGGTGCGGATCGTGCTCCCCGGGGCGGATCGTGCTCCCCGGGGCGGATCGTGCTCCAGGAGCGGATCGTGCTCCCCGGTGCGGATCGTGCTCCAGGGGCGGATCACGCTCCCCGGAGCGGATCACGCTCCAGGAGCGGATCGTGCTCCAGGTGCGGATCGTGCTCTCCGGAGCGGATCGTGCTCCAGGGGCGGATCGTGCTCCCCGGTGCGGATCGTGCTCTCCGGAGCGGATCGTGCTCCAGGAGCGGATCGTGCTCCAGGTGCGGATCGTGCTATCCGGAGCGGATCGTGCTCCAGGGGCGGACCGTGCTCCCGGTGCGGATCGTGCTCTCCGGAGCGGATCGTGCTCCAGGAGCGGATCGTGCTCCAGGGGCGGATCGTGCTCCCCGGTGCGGATCGTGCTTCCGGGGCGGATCGGTTGTGACAGTAACACCAGGAGGTCTCTATGCTAATGGAACCTCCTGCTTCCTTTCTCACCAGCAGCGCTATTCAGACAGTCCTGATCAATGAGGCCATGGTTGTGTTTCTCTGTTCACCATCAATAGAATCACTTGTGCATTAATGCTGATGGTGATCAGTCTCTTCACGCCACATTTATTCCACATGTTTAGCTCTTCTAGTTCCAGTGTTGATATTAAAGCTACTAGTTACTTTGACTTAGTGAGTAACTGACTCTAGCTACGTTCACACTGCAGGCCTTGATGCTCAATTCCGATTTTTTTGCAAAATCCGATTTTTTTTAGGTCGCATTTCATATTTCCAAATATATGCGACTTGTATGTGATCTCCGGTTTGAACTGCAGTCATACAACACAAGTGTCCCGCATGCACGGTAGATGATGCTATGAGGCCAGCGTGCTCTTTTTTTCCGGAAGTAAACATGGATGGTAGTCCCGGCGCGCATCTTGCGGTCTTTTCCAACCACAAAGAAACAATCTTTTCATTATGGTTAAACATAAATACTGCATCATCGTCTGCCATGGTTGCTGTATTTCTTGCCCCTTCTGCATAGCAAGACGCAGAATAGTGACGGGATTCATCCGACACAGGACGCAATTGAAAAGATGAGATTCGTATCGGATTCAGGACCACAGAGCCAAGTGGCCTGGGTCGCATTGGAAAAAATCGGATCTGTGTTGTTCAGACAGCCATGAAAAAATCAGATCCAGGTCGCGTATGGGGAAAACAATCGGATTTGGGTCACTTCAGGCTGCGGTGTGAATGTAGCCTTGGTTACTTTTTGGTAACTAGTCACTTAAGTAACTTTCTAACTGTGGTTGCTTCCATCGGCCAGCCTGTTGGATGCTCAGCTGTTGGACATCATCTAGTCAGAAAGGAGGTCAGAGGTCACTGCCATGTTGCTGTCTAGAGGTTTTCCACAGAGATCAACTCATACATTTATGCTATGTTCAAAACTAAAGCAGCAGAAGCAGCTAAAACGCTGCTTCATTTTTGATGCTTGTACCAGTTTAGTTCTGACGGGCGGCTGAAGCATCTTTGCTGCTCTGGCTGCGCGGTGGTAAAGTGGGTCTGATGCGCGGTGGGCGGAGCTACCCTATCCTTTCTCTGCCTGGAACAATGGCAGCTATATTAGCTGTGATCAGTGGGTAGAAAGTAGTTAGAATCTATGTTGAAGTGAGAAAGTCCTCCTGAAAACATGGTCTGTGCAGTCAGTTCATCCAGATTACCATCCTGCCTTCAAAGATTATTTCTCTGTGGGAGCCGCTCAGACCCCCACATACCGGCGCTGCGCTGTCACTGGGAATCCCCAGCAGCAGCTGCCTCAGGCCCGCTCGCCTCTTGGGGGTTTTCCCCTCCTGTTGGTGGCGGCTGGAAGTAGATGTTAGCGTTTTTCAGGTCTGTGCTACAAACTGCAGGCAGCAGGATAATGAAAGCCAACATATTCTGCCGGCAGGTTTCTACATTTGAAGTTAATTTAGGCGTTAATAAACTGTTTCAGACGAGTGATCATAGTGCTCTGCATCAGCTCCCAGATCAGCTTCTGTGATTGGTTCAAGTTAAATTTTTCCAACTGAAGTAGCTGAAGAACCTGCTGCTCAAAAGACGCTGCAGGACCTTTTGCTGCAGCTTGATGTGCGTCAACCATTGACTTGAAGCTAGCTGCTCCTGCTGCCTCTGCTGCTGTAGGTGTGAACATTAGAAGCGCTTCATAAATCCCCAGCGTCTTCTGCCCGTTTGTCTCCTATTTCCTCAGCCCATGTTTTTTTTTCTTCCCCCCTCTGTCCTCTGTGTTTATCTGACTGTGTTCATTGTTATTCCTCCACTAAATGAAAAAAAGTCCTAATTTATTATTATCTAGAGGCTGTTACTAACAGTAGGTAAATGCAGCTCCAGACTAGCTCTGAATGTGATGATGTCATCAGTACGCTTCTGTTCCAGTTGACCCAGATTTATTCTGCGTGTTCTAGTGAATTGAGAAACGGTCTTAATCTAACCTGATGAACCGTCATCAGGATAAAATGGAGACTTATGTTCCAAGTTTCCTGGAAATAAATCTCCTGAAGCAACTGCTGATGGGTCTCAGCAGGTTTGTGGTGGAACCGGTTCCTAAGGTTCATTTTATTTTCTGTTCCCCATGCGGAGCTGTCGCTGTGCGGTGGCTCGCTCGCATCGATGCGCCCGCCCTGCTTGGACATCATGATCACCTGTTAGCCGCTATGCTGCGATCGAATCCCAGTCGAACCTGCAGCAGAGCCTCAGCTGAGACAGTGAGAGGAGCCGGCCAGATATCTCGCTAGTGAGCTTTAAAAGAAGCTGTAGGGAATCATTGCTGCTGCTGTTTACTGCTCAGGCCTCGGGATCAGTCTTCTTTGGGACACAGAATACAGGCCTTAGAAACCCCTATGAAGCGCCCGCTGTGATGTCATCAGAGGTCTGGGTTCAGCTGCACGGTTAGGAAGAGCAGGTCTACAAAATATCAGCACATAAAGTCCCACTGAGCTCAGTAGATCCTATCAATATCAGCCATAGCAGCCGGTCGGTGGTATTTCCAGTGCTCTGCACCCCACTGTCATGGTTGGTCAGTGGAATGAAACCATCAGCCTGGTTTTAGCCATAAAATATTCCTCTTTCCGGATCAGTCTGGAACATGTCGGTTTTCCCTCTTTAAGGTCTGTAGTTTGATGCCGTTTCTCAGCGTTCCTGCAGTCGTTAGCAGGAAGTAGGTCCCAGCCCTGCAGCCACAGACTGGATTCCTCAGATGCTCCTCTAGATCAGCCACTTCCTGTCCTAAGCATCCCCACTGAAGCAGCTCCTGTCTTCTGATCCGAGCCTTCCTGTGGAAAAGGAAATTAAGTGAAGAGAAATTGTTTGACTTTTTTTTTCTTAAATCATATTAAAAACGAGAAAGAGCTTCACACCAGTCTTCAGCTGCATGTCCTACTCTATTTACTATTTGTGTTTATTTTATTTTTTTAAACCTGATGCCATCAGCTGCTGCTCTGCACTGGTGTGAACCATTCTGCGCCTCAGCTTTCTCTACATGCAGATCTATAGTCATGACT